ATTCACAAATATATTTTTAAATTGTACAATGTAATATTTATAAGATCAAGAATTTCTCTTTTCTAAAAATTATTAAAAAATTTATATGCATGTTTGAAAAGTGTTTTTACTGATTAATTTTAAGGAGTCGGGCGATGAATGCTGCAGGTGTTTATTGTAAAAATTATGAAGTATATTACATATAAATTATCTATATAATTGGGTATTTGCATTAAACGGACACTTAATTTAATACGGACACTTAAACTAAATTTTTTTTTTTTAAATAATTACTGTGTGCGTAAAATTTCGTGTTCTGTGCTCGTAACTAATTAATAAATACTTAAATGAGCTCTCCTTTTTTCATACCTTGTAAAAAAAAATTATCTAAATTTTGTAATTAACTTTAATTATTTATTTTGGAGTCAACTTATGAGAAATTTAGAACCGTTAAAGAACGGCACAATTTTCTTAATCGTTAAAACGGACACTTCACAAGACTTCTTTAAAACCAACAAATCTTCGCGGAACTTTTCGATGGCCAACTGATGACGTATTTATTTCATCATTTTAAAATAATAACTCCTTGAAAACTTCGGTTTCTTATGATTTTTGATATTTTTACAGAACCATAACCTTATACCAAAAGTAATAACCCCTGGTGTATTTTTTTCTTCTTCAAAAATAAAGATAAACAATCAAGCAATTGATCCATAATAAATAAAAACTTCATTTGATTATCGTATTGTTAACTATTTCTCTCTCTTTTTTTTTTCTCCTTCTCTTTAAAAACATGACTCCATCCTAAGCGAATGAGAACGTTCGTTTTCTATTTTATTTTTAGATCATGTTTTTATTCTATTCTTAACTTACAATAACAAGAACTGACACATTTCCAAGGATTTGACACTGCCAATAGTAAATTTAGGTAAAGGTAAATTATTTATTGCAAGGTAACCAAGAAAAAAAATAGATCAGAGACAAATGACGTGTTAGAAGTTTAAACTAGTTAAACCTCGTTTATAAAGAGAATGGCTACGGAATAAATAGAAGTCCTAAAATTTTTGTAAATCAGAGAAATTTTAGGTAATTTAATTAAAAACCCAAAAAATCGAGGGAAATGAATGAAGTAGAATGGCTTACAAACAGAATGGCTACGGAATAAGTAGAAGTCCTAAAAGTTTTATAAATCAGAGAAATTTTAGGTAATTCAATTAAAAACCCAAAAAATCGAGGGAAATGATTGAAGTAGAATGGTTTATAAACAGAATGGCTACGGAATAAATGGAAGTCCTAAAATTTTTATAAATCAGAGAAATTTTAGGTAATTCAATTAAAAACCCAAAAAATCGAGGGAAATGAATGAAGTAGAATGGCTTATAAACAGAATGGCTACGGAATAAATAGAAGTCCTAAAATTTTTATAAATCAGAGAAATTTTAGGTAATTCAATTAAAAACCCAAAAAATCGAAGGAAATGAATTTGAGTTTAAAGTACGTGAAAGTCCAGTATTTGTTTTTCTAAAAAAGAGTCTTAAAAATTTTCTCAAATAAGTAAATAAATGAATCTTTATTTTCAACTCAACTTAAATTATTTTCAACTCAATCTTTATTTTCAACTTTCAAGTATAAGTGTTTTGTAACATATTTTTTGCATAAGAATACGGCATAACTGAAAAGTTAAAATATTTGTCACCGTTTACAAAAATCAGAGAAATTAGATGAAATCTGCCTGGAAAAATGTAGTTTTTTTCCCCTCCTGCTTGTACTCGTAGCTACCCTGATAAAATAGTCTTGGTTTTTATTTATTATGAATTTGGCCTATTTATTATGAAGAACAAATTACGTAAGATAGTACTTTATGCTTGCGCCTACGCCCCAAACACTTTCCCTTTCGGAGAGTTGTGTTCGTCAAATTGCGGAAATTGCGTTAATGATGGAAGGTTTCTGTTTTTAAATTGGCTAATTGATTATCATGCCAAAACAAGGCTGCATTAGTTTTGATTTTACTCTAACAGCAAAATTATGTGAAAAGATTTTTTTTAATATATCGTATTTTTTTTATTAGAGTATGGACAATAATAATTTTCTTAAAATTAAAATTTAGTTGTGATTAGTCGCAATTAAAATTAATTATGATTTAACATTTTTCTTACGGTTCTCGATATGAGTGGGAATTTTCAAAAAGAAATCGCCGAATATTTAAAAAAAAAAAAAGAAGAAGAAGAAATTGTCATACACATTAGAATTAAGATTAAATGTATCAACGAATTGGTAAGTATAATCAAGCAAAAACCCTTAACCTTAAAAAAAGACATTACTGTAAGGAATACCGGGCAATGACCTAAATCTACAAATGTGCTATTGATTTTTATGAAAAAGTGATTATATATACGTTTAATTGAATGACTAAAATTTGCAGAGGAATTTCATTATTCAAAGTATGTTTTGATGTTTTGACCGAAAAGGTGTCGCAACCTGTGCAAATTTTGGCTTACGAGTTCTCATGATATTGTGATTTAAGCCGATTTATATGAAAAATATACTTGTTACAAATTGCAAAATATTTAAGTGATACTAGAACGTTGTTTCCGTGCTAAAGACTTGACTAGATTTTGCTTCAAAATTTGTGCTTGATGTGTAATAATTTTGCATTCAACCACTTTTTCATCACAAAATAGACATGATAACTGCGTTGCTAGTGTGGTCAGTTTGAAGTCAATTCAAAAGTAATGTAAATATTCGAAGCAGTAACAATTTTTTCAGTTGAAATAGTTAAACTAAAAAATATAGTTTAAAAAGAGCTATATTAATATATAAAATATAATTATATATATATATATATATATTTTATAAAACGAACTTACTATGTAAAACAGAGATGGAGTCCTCCCTCCATCTAAATCTTCTTAAAAGTTTCTTTTCTTTTAACCATAAGTCTCCATCATAATTTAAGTTATGTAATCCGTAACAGCGCTTCATTTTATAACTAAATTCTTTCGACAGATAATAATAAATCTGAGCATTAACTTAGCTTTCTAAAAGTAGCAAAATTAACATTCTGATACTAAAGGTGTCCTAGATTCAAATTCTACTTCTTCCATATAGCAATCGCCATTATAATGTATAGAGAGTTAATTTTATGTATTGAAATTCCCTATTAAGTCACAAATATATTTGATTGTTTTTTTTTAATTCGTTGAAAGCGTATTTTTAAGGGAAACTTTTTCTAAATTATTGAAAAAAAAAAGTATTCTGACTTTTAATTAGTGGCGTAATTAATCGCGAATTTAAGTACATATAATTCATCATAGATTAACGTTGGAAATTGGGGAGACACATATTGTCAACATAAATTCTCGTTTACTCCGGTATTGCTTTAGAACAGTGTTCCCCAACCTCTTTATCACCGCGGACCTGTCAACGTTTGATAATTTTACCGCGGCCCACTGAGTGGGGGACATTGATTGTTTACATTTTAGATTATTTTGATTTATTAATTTTAATGTAATTGTATTTAAACACGCATTCAAAATAAAATACAGTTACGCTAAAAATAAATATAAAGTTATTTAATTGAGAACCCTGAGCTTGTTTCTTTGCAATATGACGGTTCCATCTGGGGTAATCGAAGACAATGATACATTACAAATATTTAAAAATTTATGTCATTGCCTCGGGGGCCCTTTTTTTTTAAATAAATAAAATTTTAATGGAACACAGATATTTTTAATTTGTGGTATAAACCTAGGAATTTAAATTCAGTTTCAGTGAAATGGGCGGCCCGGTACCATTTGATCCAGGTACCGGTCCGCGGACCGGGGGTTGGGGAACACTGCTTTAGAACACCCTTAAGAGGATGCTATATGATGGGAGAAATTCTCTTTCACCTTCAGGGCTGGATTACCCATTAGGCCAGACTAGGCCATGGCCTGGAGCCCCCAATGATTAGGGGCCCCCTTTAAATGGATTTTTTGAAAATAAATTTAGGAAAATTAAGAGAAACAATAATTGTTCAAATTTTTTCAAAATGTTATGATTATTTTTAGTTCTAAGTTAATAAAATGAAGTAAAATTTAATTTATTATTATTTATTTTAATTTTAAATATGCTTTCTTAAATGAGAAGACATATAAATACTTTTATATTTGAATAAATAAAAAATATACGAGAAAATTTTTTTAGCTAAGGGCCCCAAAAATTTTAATGGCCTAGGGCCCCGTGTACGCTTAATGAGGCTTTGTTCACTTTTATTAGTATTGTAAAGTTTAGAGAAAACTGAGTATAGGTAAACTTCAAACCCGTGAAATTTCAAATGCTGAAATTTTTTTTCCTTCAGAATATAAAATTGCATACAAATTATGACAGGATTACTTTCGTCACTGCGTAGTCTTCAGTTATCCTGCCATAATTTGTTTGCATTTTGATATTTTGAAGAAAACAAAGCAGCATTTGTAATGTCATGGTTTAATTTAGACTTACCTAAATTCACTTTTTCCATTTTTTTTAAAATTACCTTTATAGATGAAAGAGCAATGCGATCCTGCGTTCTCTAGGACGCTATAGCGCGGGAGATACTTTTCATCGCAAATTCTGCTTTAATCTCCATTGGGGTGCATTAATATTTAAAATTAAGAGACGAGTGAATTCAGACAAACCTAGAGATAACCATGAAGTTTCAAAGGTTGAAAATATATTTTCAAAATATCGAAAAATGCAAACAAGTTATGGCAGGATAACTTTCCCATAATTCTAAGGAATCCTTTCATAATTTGTTTGCATTTCGGTTTTTTGTTAAAAAAATTTTTCCACAGTTTGAAACTCTATGTTTTACTCTAGTATGTCAGAACTGACTTTTTCTAACCTTACGTTTTTAAATTACTTCTGGATGTCAATGTAGGGTATGAACTATATTTTCTTCAAAATATCTTATTTACTATTTTTGATTGCTCCAATGTTATTATTTTTTTATATGAAATAATTTTCTGTGTTGACAATTGTTTTTTTAAATTCTTTTCCAGTCTGTCTAGACGTGGACATACGGAACTCAGTGTCATCTTTTAGTAAACTAGAAAACTGTTCTGTCGTGGAAGGTTCTGTACAAATTCTTCTTATCGACAACGCAGAAAGCAAAGACTTTGAAAACATGACTTTTCCAAAGCTCAAAGAAATTACGGGTTACCTCCTCTTGTACAGGGTGCAAGGCCTTCAGTCATTATCTAAACTCTTTCCAAATTTGACGGTCATCAGGGGTGATGTACTGTTTCATAACTATGCACTTGTTATCTATGAACTTCGTGCCATACTTGATGTTGGACTCACAAGCTTAACAACGATCTTGCGTGGATCTGTTCGCATTGAAAAAAACGCTCATTTGTGTTATGTGGATACCATCGATTGGGATTTGATTGCAAAAGCTGGTCGCAACGGTCATTTCATCAAAGATAATAAAGCTCATGAACAGTGTCCGAATACTTGTCCTGAAATGGATTGTCATGTTAGCAGCAGCTCTAAAACTCATCGCCAGCAGAAGTTGTGTTGGAATTCTCATGCGTGTCAAAAAGGTTTGACCTTAACTTTTATCTTTTTATTTATTTATTTTAAATAATTATAACTTCTATTCTAAAATAGAGCAAGAGGAAATTTTTGTCAATTTTTTTTAATATGGAAATTGCAGTTTAGTTTTGAAGATCTAAGTTCATTCTGATTTGTTTGTTAAAAATATTTTGAAGTAAAGAAGAGAATTTTCTTCTGTGATCTTGGGTTACGTTGAAGTTTAAGAGTTGCTGTAAAGTAAAAATAATGAAATTAGCAGTGTCTCATGCTGAGTGAGATCAACGTGTATGTTTGTAGATGGTAAGTTGATCAACGTGCAGTGTGCAAAATGTAAAACTGGGCACTTGATTAATTTTTGATCTAATGATCTTTTCACGTATAACATGCTATAAGTATGGTCAGAGCCGGATTATACCTTTCGTGGGCCCTAGGCACAGCCGTTTTCGAGGCCCTTCCCTCCTTCCCCCACTCCTCCCCTCTTTTCAAAATATATGCTAAAATTTTCTTGCATATTTTTTTTAACATTTTTATTAATGTGGATTTTAATTTAAAAATTTGTTTATCGAACTTTATCTGCAATACCGACATACTGCCGATATTGCAGTTGATATCGATAATACGTACCATTATGATTAGTTCGATCAATAACTATGTAAAGGTAAACACTTCTCGTCAACAATACAACAACAAACCAGCAAAGAAAACAGTGAAATTGATAGTAAGATTAATTACAAGAAATAATTATACTACAAATAGCTTCATAGTTTTCATGATACTACTATGATAACTCAGTGAAGGAAATTAACATTGTCAAAAGTAAATCTTTTGACATTATTTATAAATAAATTTGCAAGGTAGGTTAAATGTTTACTAATAGAAAAAAAATGATTTAATACTATTTTAATAAAATGTTAGTCACGTTTTGTCAGGAACGTATTACGCCATTTTAGAAGTATTAATTTCAGAAATGACTAAAGGGCGTAAAGCTTACAGTGATTTGTACGATAATTTTGGTTTTCTTGTTCACAAAAATTTGTCAGAATCTGAGATTAAACTAGAAGCGCAAAATTTGGTGAAAATTTACTCATCCGATTTAGAGGAAAACTTTGTAGATGAATTTTTACTATTTTCAAATTTGTATGAACATAAATCTGCACAAGAAATGTTGAAGGCTCAAATTAAAGATAAACTTGTGAATACTTTTCCTAACGTTCACATTGCATTAAGAATATATTAGTCGATTCTTGGATCAAATGCAGAAGGAGAAAGATCTTTCTCCTTCCAAGAATCCAAAAATCACAAAAAAGTATTATATTAGATCATAAGATTATGCAAAATAATTTATTACCGAAAAATATTATATTTTTATTTGTATCTTCATAATTTTGTGCAAAATACACTTGTTGTTTTTAAAGCTAAATTATTTTTGTCAAAAATTTTTTTTCTCCCAAGTTTTTCGTAGTCCCTAGGCACGTGCCTAGTGTGCCTATAGGTTAATCCGGCCCTGAGTATGGTTCAAAAAAGTTAATCTTAAATATGCTAATTAATTGGTGGGAGATAGAGCATTCGCCTTCCAATGAGGTGAACTAAGTTCGAATCCCAGCGATGGCTGGTCGATACGAATTCCACACCGACCACAATGCTGACGTAAAATATCTTCAGTGGTTGGTAAGAGGAAGGGGAGAAGGGCCAAATGCATGAAACCGGTCTCTCCCCAGATGGCGTATTCGAGCGTTGTAATCGCCAATAACTGATTGTTCTTGTTGCAAGCTGTGCACCATCTTACGTTAGTGTTAGCGCCTTTAGCATTGTAAACACAAGTGTTGTTAGCATTGTAAGCACAAGTAATATGTAATCAAATACCACGTTTGCAAGAATCTCAAAACACAATGATCACGTTGTGAGCCAAATGGCTTTAAAATACACCAGAAACAGTAACCAGGAAGTATAGGCTGTATGGAGCTTGCAGCGTTCCCTTGGGTAGAAAACACCATCCATAATACAACACTTAGCTAAGCCTAACCATATAACCTCTTAATCTCAGAAAACAATTCATAATAAATAGAATTTTGAAATTTTTTCTCAAATTTCTATGTAGATATTCTTTAGATGTTCCTCAACCAGTTTGAACTAAAATAAGCAGTTTTTGCCAGTTTGTAATGATATAAGAAGAAAGTTTATTAACAGCTTAAAACTAGCATACTGAATAACGTTGATGATGAACATGAATTTTTTTATCAGTTACTGAAACTGAAATAAAAATGTTTGCCTCAATCCCAGTAAATGTTTCTAAAAATATTAAATGAATTATCTCAATTTAAAAGCAGAAAATAGATGGGTTTTTTTTAAAACATATACCCACTTTACTTCACCTGACCTTATATTACTGAAATAAAGTCAGAAGTTGTTTTTTAAATTTGTAATCTTATTAAGTTACACTAATTAGAAATATAAAGATTATGTTTGTGTATACATGTGTTGCCTGTTCAAAGCACTAATTGTGTTATTTATTGTGTTACGGTTTTACAACAACAGGTCACAACGGTTTTAGACCCCAATTCTTTACTCCGTCCTTTCTTTGGGATTATTCTGCGGCACCAACACCATCAAATTTATTTATTTATTTTTAAAAAAATTTTTTTTTTATTAAAGTAATTCAGCTATCAAAAATAAAGAATTTTTTTAATGGTAATGTCACCTAATCAGAATCATGTTAAAGAAATTTTTTGCTGAAACATTCAGAAATAAAAGCGATTCTTACTGATGCTTTTGGCTACATTTCTAAATTGATTTCAGAATTTGCACTTAAATTTACCTCTTAAAAATAACGTTTTTCCACCATTAAATTTCAAAGAGCAGGCGTAATTTATTTTTTTAAATGTTCATGTTGTAAAGTTTATAAATTTTATAAATAAAGTTTATAAATGTATGTTTTTAACAGAATAATTCATTATGTTTTCTAGTTTGTGGTGTAGACTGTGAATATCAAAATTTAACTTGCTCAACAAAACATCAGTGTTGTCATCAGGAGTGTTTAGGAGGATGCAACGGACAACTAGCTGATGAATGCATAGCTTGTCGTCATGTGGTTTATAACAGAAAATGTATGAAGCAATGTCCACCTAACACATTTAAGGTATGCACCTTTTTCTCATCATTAGTTAGGGATTTTATCGTTCAGCTTTTAAAAAAAAAAATTTTTACAAAAATTATAGAAATCATTATGTTGCAATTATATAATCACAACTTCTAAAATGAAGTTATTATTAGTTTGACATGAACACATTTATTTATGAAGAATGCAAAAAAGTGTTTTTAAAATATAATATATAAAATATAATTAATTCTGTTTTCCCTGGGGGAATATTATATAAGTTCCTCTGAGGAATAATTTTTGCTGACAAGCGATACAGGTGATAAAAGCTATGCTTATGTCATATCTAAAAATCATTACTGCAATTAAGAGTTTAAGTTAAGTTAAGAATCATTAGTTTTTTAAATACTTGTGTTTTAAAAAAATAATAAGGGTATGGGTAATAGATTGCAGAAAATATTCTTACTATTTATGCAAACCCCTTATCCCTATGTTGCAGTGCATAATTAAAAATTAACCTTTAGACATAAGCAAAATAATCAGCACAATTTAGATAAGATACAGGTGTGCGCCACAGGGGCTACAGGTGTTACGAATCCCTTTCTCTCACTCTGACTAAACTTGTTCTGACCAGTTGAGTCTATTGTGTGTAGTCTATTGCGCCTGTATTGCAAAGGAAGGGGCAAGATATCAGCTCCTAGGTTTTTTTTTCTTGCTTTAAAAGATCCAGTAATCTTTTTTTTAAAAAATCGAGTTAAAGGGAGTAAAATTCGAGTAATCGAGAATAATTAACATGAAATTGAAGATAAAAGGGTTGGGACCTCATAAAAAAATCGAGTTATAGTAATATTCGAGCTATTGTACTTCGAGTTATGCCGAATTGACTGTATTTTGTGAAACTACCGTTTTTCCTAAAGTTGAATTTGTGAAGGTACGGTAGTAAATTTCACCTGGACAGACCACTGGTATTTCAATTTTTAAATGAAGTTCATTTGAAAAAAAAGTATACTTTTTTAATGTAAATATTTTTAATTTTTCTTTCAGTACTTAGGTAGAAGGTGTATTGAAGAAAATAAATGCAAAAAAACGAGAAACAAGCTCTCCATTTCACATGACACTCAGGATATTTATTGGAAACCATTCCAGGGTCAATGTTTACCTCAATGCCCTCAAGGTTACTCTGAAAGCAAGACGAATAAGCATGAATGTAAAAAGTGTAAAGGACAATGCCCTAAAAGTTAGCCTCACTTTATCTCTTATTTTAGAAATATTGTATTGCACTAAAAAAAGGAAACAAAAATATTCTTTTCTTCAAAATTTTTTCAATGCATAATATGATACTTGGGAATATTATCTGAAAGGTGGTGAAAAAACTTATAAAATGTATTAGAAACTTGTTTATTATACCATTTTATCTTAACTCAATAATTTTATTAAAAAATTCTTAGTTGAAAATATTTTTTAAAAACATTATCACTTTAACAGAATTTGTGTGCTTGTTCTATTGGACAAATAGTATTATAATTTTACCTATTTTATTTTTTATAATTGTATTGTTATTGTGTTATTATTTTTTTAATTGTATTATAATTTTTGCAAATTTTTGTGGTATCATCAAAGTAACAAGTTTAAATTGTATTAGTATTCCAAGATATTTACTGATTAATCAGAAATTGAAATTAGGATTAATGAAGGGGTTAGTTTTGATAATTCCTATTAACAATACCACATTTTTAACTTATCTGAAATAAAGTAGTATGTATGAATAAAGTATTAGCAGAAAAATCCGATTACTTAAAAATATTATTCTGAAATCATATGTGAAACTGAAAATTAATCCCTCCTAGCATTGAATGGGAATATATACAATTTTCCTCGGTTGACAAATTTCCATTGAATTGCAAATGTTGTAAGGCAAAAAAAGAAAAAAATAATAATTATATGGCAAAAAGATCTAGATAAAGTACTCAAAATCTTAATGTAGTTATTCTGTAATGCAATTATAACTTAATTTTTCAAACAGTTTGTCATGCAATAAAAATTATTTTGCAATTTTTAAATGAAATGATGTAGTTAATAATTATATTAATTTCTTGATACAGGGTTCCTTAATAAAAAATATTTTGTCCTGATATTTCTTTTTTTTTTACCAGAAAATCCCATTTCTATGAATATAAATGCAAATTTGAAGAATTAATTGTTTTAATTAATAATAACTTAGGAATCCATTCTACACCGATATACAAGATTCAAGTTTATAGTCTTACCTACATGAATCATTGTTTCAAAATTTTTAGGAATTTACTCATTTGGTTATAAAAATACTTAATTAAATTTTTCACTGTTAAATTTTTATGGTGATGTATTTAGGGATCATATGCTTATTTATTATTTTCAGCAAATCCAATAACAAATCTTGTATGGTAGAATTCTGTAGTTTCACAATTTTTTATTTCTCTCTTTCATCTAATGTGATCTAACAACTTGAAATAAAATAATCTACAACAGCTGATTCTATTTCAAATTACAATTGTAGTTAATTTAAAAATAGATATCTATATTTATTTTCCCTTTACTTATTATTTCTTTTTAAATTTCTTTGTGCTTCAGAGTTCATATGGTTCAGAAAAACCTGCATGGCTTGTTTACTGCGTTGCTTCAATTAAAAGTATTTCTCTGAAGCTTTCAAGTTTACTTTTTTTACTATCTTTATCATCGTCTGATGAATAATGTAAATAAAATTTTGAGAAATATTTGAAAAATTATCAACGAATACAAAACAAAGTATAATATGTAAATTTAGAAATTTAGGTTGGGGAGCATCTAAATGTTAAAAGCTGTTGAGGAAATCATTTTGCATATTGTGATGAAAATGGTGCAATTTTTTTAATGAAAATGTTTTTATCTTTTGATAATAGTCATTCATTTTTAAACATTTGATAGTTACACCAGCAAATAAAATTAACAATTAATAGAAGGTGGTTATTACTCCCTTTTTCCTGTAATTCACCATTCCAAATATTTTTTTATCTAAAAAGTTGCTTCGAAGAGAAGTCAGTCCAAATGCATAGAAAAATTTTCTTTTAAGAGAATTCCCAAAACATTTTGTTAGAGATTAATTTAATCCTTTTTCTAAAGGAAGTTTTTCAAAGTCAATATATAATATTCAATTGCTAATACAAATAGGCTTCTAAGAACCTTTTAGTTGAAAGTGAGAAAGTTTAGCTTTTAAAAAATTATCACTGAAAAAGCTTTTCTAAAATAAACCTTGTTGTAAACAAATTGAGTTTTTTTAAACACCTACATAGCCTTAATTACTCAATGGTCATAATGAAACATAATAGAAAGTGTCTCATGAAGGCATATTGTTAAGTAGATAAATGAAAAAATATCTTTTTATTGAATTAATGACTTCCTTTGTTTCAATTTAACTGAGATGAAATAGAATTTTGTTTGTTAAAGAGTACAAAATATAAATTAATTTATTAGAAGAGTAAAAAAAATATGGTATTGGAGGTAACAACATTACTCACATTTACTTAGCACACTTTTTTTATTGTACATCCTATGATTGTGCTGTTTTATTTTGCTCATATGTTTGCACAACTTGCATTTATTTTAGAGCTTTTTAGTTAATTATTTAATATTTTTTTCTTTATAGTCTGTGATGGTGCTGTTATTGATAGTGTTAGTTCTGCTCAAAAACTTAAAGATTGTACTTATGTCAATGGCTCTCTAGAAATTCAAATACAAGGAGGAGGTAAGATTGAACAAACGCCTGCCTTTTATAATTTTTTCCATTGAAATAATAAATAATTTTAAATTTAAAAAAAAATGCTTTTTTATAATTTTTCTCTCTCTCTAAATTGGATGTATGTTTCAGAACAACAGTCACGTTCGTTTATAACAAGAAAGTTACGGCTTTAACATCTCTCTAATTAAATCAGATTGCTCTTTAAACACGAGTGAGATGGACTTTTCTAAAATAAAAGCTACAGCATGCAAAATGTATAAAAATAACTTATTTTTTATAATTTTTTATCTACACGGATAGGAATAATGCTTGACTTATTTTTTGACTGAACTTCAGCCATTGTTTAACGTACAACTTCAGAACACAAAATGCATTATTACTTACACCAACTAATTTTGGAAAAGTTTGTAATATCTTGTCTAATTAGATGTTGATGGTGGTGGTTTAAATGTTTCTCTACCAGCGCAATGAGCTTATGTGTTTTACAAACATTTGATCTAATAGAATAGCAATAGTTGATATAAAATCTATTATTCTGTTGTTTGCATTACAACATCTTCTGTAAGTTATTGCAGTGAAAAACATTTAAAACTTGTTATTCAAATTGAGTTAAATAGGGCTTGATATTGAAACGCATATTTTATTTTATTGAAATGTTTTCTTTTCTTACCTAGTTTTTTTAACTATTAAGTTCCACTTCATTATCTGATCTGTAAATTTTATTAGTTAAGTTTTTACTATTTTTGTTCACTTTGATTTGTTGCAGCTTTTATAACTAAGCAGCATAGTAACACAAAAATGCACATATAATGTACTCAATATAAAATACTTGGGGAGAAATATAGAAAATAATTTGCTGTCCAGGTCCATCCTATGATGCAAACTTTGTTTCCTGCAGAAAATGTAATGTTCCTAGACATTAATGCTCATATTCATACAGCAGGACTTGTTCAATCATGGTTTGATGAACACGAAGATGAAGTGTAATATTATCTTTGTTTGGGCAGTCCCCCGACCTTAATATAATTTCCATTATGGTATATTCCATGAAGAATTGTGTAATATTCCTCTGATTACTGTTCAGAATTTATAATTCTGTAATAGTTGCGTAACGCCCTATTAATAAAGGACTTATTATAAAATTAGGATGTTTTCATTATTTTGATAAACATCTGTATATATGATGGGAATGTTTTGTCCCTACTATGCAGTCAGGTGTTTTAATTAGAGATTAGGTGTCTTAATTAGATGTTAGGTTTTTTTTTTATTTGTTGGTGCATTAGTAGAATTTGATAGTTAGTATTGGATAATATTATTCTTTGACCTTATTTTTTAGTATAATTCATCAAATGTTTTTATTGAACTTTGGTGTAGAGGAGCTCAAAATAAAAGCCCTCTTCAGTAATTGTCATACATAAATTTATAAAGCATTGATAAAAGTGATGTTTATCAAAAGTGATTTCAGCCAAATTTAAGTTGTATATAATCTGAGTCAGCATTTCCTCCGGAAGAAACCTGTAACACTGGAAAAAATGAAGGAAACTGGAACTTTGCGATTTCGGAATGAAACTTGACTAGATTTTATCATGAATTTAAAAATTCGAATGTATTAATTATGGATTAAAAATTTATAGTTTAAAATTTTTAACTTTATTTTCATTTAATTCATAATTAACTTATAATTTTATGATTAAGTGTGTTAAAGCACTGTATGTATTAAAAATATTTATTTATTACTAATATTTATAATTAATATTTATATTCAATGTAAGAATGGTTTTCAGTATGTATACTTAACAGAATTTGGTTTTGAAAACTTGTTTGCAACTATGAATACAATGTGTGATTTGTATTTTATTACAATAATAGGATAATTTGATTATGATACTTTAAAAGTTCTTTATATTCCAAAATAAAGTTCTTTTTATATTTCTTTATGTTAAACATTAAAAACCGCAGTTGTTTTAATTTCTTTAAAAACCACAGTTGTTTTAATTTCTTAATTCATTAAATTTCTTTTTTTCTTCAAATTTTTTATTTTTTTATTTTCATTGAGTATTTAAAATAGCTTCATTAAATGACTTGGAGATAATACTATTTAATACTTGATATTTCTATATTTTAAAGATTTTCTTTCATTTGGGATGGAAGAAACATATTTTTTTTTCTCAGGCATTTCTTCCATGGTTTTTTCCTCTTGTAAGAAACTTACCATCCTTGTATATAATCATACCTGCTATCTTATTAAAGTATCTTATCCTATAAATATCTTATTTAGTTAAGTCTTATTTAGTAGATATAATTATAACTACAATTTTATATTCTTTCTGAAGATGATTTTCTCTAGTTGTAGGGAAAAGACAACTGAATTATTGTTGGTAGAATGATTGCATGGAATTCAATAATATGTAGTGGTTGTTAAAACCATATTTATAAATCTAAAAAAGTAAGACAAATAATATAAATGTTGTTACTATTTTAAATATAAAAACAAGTCATAGTAAAAATCCTTTTAAATTGGTAACTATGCAACCTATTTGAAACTCGGTTTAGTTAGTTTGTTTAAAGAGAGAGAAGGAAAATATAATCTTGTTGATTTTTAATAATTGTGTTTTTTATGGAATTTTTTTCTGCTCTATGTTCTAAATTATATTTAGGTGTCATGAAATGTTATATTTTTTGTTACTGTTTTAGATAATATCATCAAAGAATTGGAATCCAGCCTAAGCAGCATTAAGGAAATAAGGGGTTATTTAAAAATTGCTAGATCTTACCCTCTGGTGTCTTTAAATTTTTTGAGAGATTTGGCATACATCCATGGAGAACAATTAGACAAAAAAGAGTGAGTTGAATATTTTCTTAAGTTTAGTCTGAATGTTTCAGTAAGGTATAAAATATATGTTATTAATTGAATTATCTATATACTTTCAACTATAAAGTGCTGTTTGTATGTTTCATTTATATGCCGTTTTATTGTTGTCCCAGTCGTTCCTAATCTCTCCAATGTTAAAATAGTTAGTTTATACTTCAGAAAAAAGAATATGAATTATTTGTTTTTTGCCTTTTTCCTTTACTTTTTTTAAAAAAAGAATATATATATATATATATATATATATATTTATGTACAGTCAGGCCTGCTTTAAGCAATACCATTGGTTCCAGCCCATTATATTCAAATAAGTAGGTTATTCAACTTAAAGGGAAGTGCATTAGTCAAACTTAAATTCTATATTTTCAATAATTTTTACTTTGAAATGGCATGTAATACTTAGTATAATGTTTGAAGAAATAAACTCTTTTTAATAATGAATAAATAATTATAATTTGAGTTTAGTGACACTTTATTACATTTTATTCTATATAAAAAATATATCTATGAAAATGAAAGGTATAGTATACAAAATTTATATAAAATCACAATTTATATGAATACAATACTACTATCAATCAAAGAAATCTGTTATTGGAGTAAATTTTAAAGCGCATTGAACTAAATATTTCTCCACTTTTAATATGAATGTATTATATAAAAATTTTATAACAGAAAATATATGTTTTTGACATTTACAGAAGTAGTTTTGTTCAATAATTAAAAAATAAAAAAACCCTTTTATTTTAGATATGCCTTGCTTGTATTAGACAACCAGAATCTTCAAGAATTGTGGAATTGGGAAAGTAGGAAAAATAAGCTTATGATCAAAGGTGGTAAAGTTTTCTTCCATTTCAATTCCAAACTATGTCCAAATAAAATTGAGGAACTTAAAAGCCATGCTGAGGTTATGCCTTGGGATGAAAGAGATGTCTCCCCTAGCTCAAATGGAGATAGAGTGGCTTGTAAGTGTTTGTTTAGTGGCTTGTAAGTGTTTGTTCAGTGGCTTGTAAGTGTTTGTTTAGTGGCTTGTAAGTGTTTGTTTAGTGGCTTGTAAGTATTTGTTTAGTGGCTTGTAAGTATTTGTTTAGTGGCTTGTAGATGCTTGTTTATGTTTAATAGTGCTGAACAATTTTCAACTCAGCCTAGCAGTAATGTAATTTAAAATTGATTTAAACCTTTTGGTAAAAGTAATGGAATTCACATGCTTTTTATCTAAACACATTTATAGATACACATTTATTTTAACAATTTAAAAAAAAAATGAATAAAGCTATTCAGGATTCATAGTTATCCTGATATTCCTTATTTTCTTGATTAAAAATATGTTCTGATTTTTTACGTTTTGCCCTGATATTTCTGTTTGTTTGTTTCTTCGAAACTTAATAATTTCAACTGAAAAGTTATACTGAAATGAATTTTAAAAGAAAAAAAAATTATTACAGTTGATAAGAAATTATATACATATCAATGTCAAAACCAGTAATTTCTTATTTAAAAGTGAAATCCGAAACTTGTATTAAAAAAAAAAAAGAGTTAGCGTGAAAAAAGGAATCCCTTTTTTTATTTTCCTCAGAAGAACAAATTATTGCTAGAACAGTTCTGCTACAAGAATTTTCTTATTAAGTCGCATCTTTTTTACGGAATTGTTTCTTATTTTTGCCATATTACACCTCTTATCATCATTAGTCAGTCATAGGCATTTGACCCTAAGATTATGAACAGGATGGCTAACACATGAGCATCTGAAGAAGAGTAAAAACTTTTCTTCCTCATTACAATTATATTTAAAAAAAGAAAAAAAAAGAAGGAAATCGAAAAAAAAAAAAAAAGAATCTGACTTTACTATTTAATTCTAAAATAGGCTTGATATATAAGTTAAACATTGCTGCGAGGATCTTGTTAAGACTATTATTCTAGAAAATATTGTGGATTATAAATAAATCACTATTTTGTACCAAAAATAAATTGTGATTATTGAATTTGTATCGAGGACTCAACTTTTTGTGTTATTTTGGCTTCTTTTATGGTCGTTTTCTTGCGTTATTGCATCATTCATTCAAATTTTTTTTCTTAGAGAAGAGGCCGGGTCCCCTCTGTTCCATCTGAGTGACAAATTTCCATGATATGAAAAAAAGTGTTTTTAAGCCGTTAATTCTATTAATTTTGCATAATTCTTTATTTAAAAAAATTTCTAGTTTTCACTAAAAGCCTTAATTATCTAAAATTATAAAGTAAAAACATTGTATTTCACTCTATTTTCAGATTAAACTGAATCCTTTGAATTATTATTATTTAAAGTCATGAAAATAGTCATTAAATTCTGGAATCATTTACTAATTTTTTATGGTAAAGTTTTGATACAATGCAGATCTTAGTTGTTTTGGAAAGTTTAAATCATATTTTTAATGTATTTAATAATATAACTTAATTCTTAAATATTGCAAACATACAATATTTCGAAATTAGAGACAGTCCACAAATTACTCATCGTTCTGACCTGTGATGTTATTTGACACTTGATGATGGGAAAAAAAAACCTCTGCACTTTTGCATAGTAAATTTTTTTCCTCTTATCCATTAAATTGCAGTCAAAGCATTGTTTTTCATTTCTTATACTTTTTTCTTTCATTTATAAATCGAATGTAGTTATGTAGTTTTAGATGTCCTTTTGCTTTGAGTCATAGTTTATTAGTTTTAGTCTACTTATTAGTTTAGTCTAGTCATTGTTTATTAGTTGAGTCATAGTCTGTTACTCTTTACTTTGGCAATCTTTGTTTCCAGAATTTGCTGCATTTTTTTAAAAATTTGTCTTATGTTTATTTTTGTTTGCATTTATTCTTTAGTCTGTAGATTATGCAAGTTGTAGAATTTAAGTAGCTTATTCCAGGAAAATAGCTGTAATTATCAATTTTCTTTTCAACTTTCAATCCATTTTTATGTTAAGGAATCTGATTCCATAGTCAAGAAATTTCAGGTTCCGAGATTTCTTGTATGAACGCATGTGCAAAATTGCACTATTCTTTAAAATCATTTCTGATCAACTTAGTGTTGATCAGAATGTTGTGTGGTGGCCATATTTTTTTAAAAGTCTTTTTGTAATTTGTCCTGAATTTTATTTTGAACCATTATAAAGCCTGAACAATGTCTTCAATGTCAAGCATGCAAACTTTTACAAAATTCAAAGATTTTATTTTATTTGAAGATGTTTTTATTTTTCACTGGGACAAACATGTTGGAAACTGAATGTTCTTTATAAAATATTATGTAAAATAAGTATGATTAAATACTATGGTAATGAAAAATTACTGATATAAAATGTTGATTATAAAATTGTTATAGGTAATGTCATCGATATGGATATGGAAGTTTGGCGTGTCGGTGCTAATGTTGTTGGTCTGAGATGGACAAATTTTAGACTGGCTCATAAAAATATTGATTTTCGGTCACTTTTGGGCTATGTTGTTTACTTTAAAGAAGCGTAAGTGTTTTTTAAAATCATATATAATTGTGTTTATGGTTTATATCTAATTAATCTACTATATTTCTAAGAATGCTAACTTTTAAACTTGTTTCTTAGAAACTAAGAATTCTTATGAGAAATTCAACTATCATTTAAATATCAGTCTGAAAACTGAATTAAAATGTACAAGGTCAACTACTGTGAGATTTTGCTATACCTAGGGAAGAGTATTGTACCTTTAATTTTACCTTGTACCTTGTTTATTTATTTGTTTTTTCATGCAGATAATAATAATTAAAATTACTTAGAAATTTTGTGGGAAATACATTATACTTTAGTCTATTGATATGTATATACACACACAACAGTAGAACTTCAATTTAATGACTCTTGTCGAGCTGGACAAAAATTTCATAAATAACAGGGCACCAATATATTGGGGACATGAAAAATCCCATAAAAGCTAAAATTGAAATGCGTTCAAATTAAAATACAATCTGAAAATTAAATGTAATAGTCTTAAAGTACACAATGAATTTTCCAGCAATTCCAATGCACCTGTTTCTCTCTTTTTGAAGTAAGTTTTCAGTCTGCTATATAAATGCTGCTTCTTAAATTCATAGTGGCTGATCTAAAGATTCTCGATCTTATTCATCACCACTAGAGTCTTTAATTTCAACTGTTGAAATTACGTTTGATTCACAAGTCATTAAATTGTTATCACATTTCAAATACTCCATAAAGTTGGTATCAGGCTCTGTTCTGAAATGCTGTCAGAACTGACAAAAAACCTTTTCTAAAACCATCAAAGATACTGTCTTCAGAAACTTTTTCACGGCAGATGTTATTAAGTTTAAAGCATTTGTTCATATTTTTTGTTGTATATATGTTGTACAGTACTCCAACTTAGCCAGGACCATTTTCACAATTTATTTAATATAGGAAATTTTAAAATGATGGATTATTCCTAGATCGCATGGTTGCAGCTTTCGTGTGCAATTTGGAAAAAAATGTACGATTTGAAAAGTCTGATTTCTTCTGAGCTATTCATTAATTGATGGATAATGTCTCATTGCACTTTTGTTCTCACATTTTTCTATCAAATTCTTGTAAATATTTGTTGAAATTGACTGCGACCATCCAAGCTTTATTAATTGATTTGTATTTTAATAGATATATTTTGACATTACTTAAAAGTTATCAACTAACATTTAAGTGAAAAATGACTGGGAATGTTAGTATTTTCGGGAAATCATACTAGAGGACGCTCTAAATATTAGGATATTTTTACGTTATTGATGTGTGAAATGAAAGGAGACCAAGCTGAAAAGACATTTAAAGCAGGAAATTTTTATTCACTGATGACGTTAAATCTAAGTTCAACTGTTTTTATACATGCATATTAAAGAGAGCAAATTGCGTGATATACTTCAGAATTTTTTTTAAAAGTAAGAAAAATCGCTCCAAAGTGTTGTATCTTGGTCTATGGCCATCTCTTTTCAAATTTTGAAGGGGACAAAATCAAAATATATAATCACACATAAGAAAAGAATTCCTTATCTCTATTAAATATCTGCAAAAAGAATAATTATTTTGTATCTGTTTCTTGTTATTTTTAATTTTGATAAACTTAATCGATGATGATACAAGAAAATTTCTTTATTTGTCTGAAGTATTGAGGGAGTATATGCTCCATCCCCAACAACAACATCCATAACTTGGTTCATATCTTTTACATGGGATGTCACTTCTTGAATAACATTCATAAAGATTTCTCTTTTTTTTCTTCCTTTTTTCAAAAAAAAAAAAAAAAAAAAAAAAAAAAAAAAAAAAAAAAAATAAATAAAAAATTTAAGTTGATTGAATTTTGATATCCACACAATTAAAACTTTTTTTCTTCCTGTAACCTGCATATGCTAAAATAAACCAAGTTAGTCATATACAAAGAATAACTATTGGAACACTTCACAAATTTAAAGCTTTATTAAAAATCTAATATTTATGTTTACATAGAGGCAGAGACTGGTTTAAGGTACAACCTGCATTCTTTTGATTTTGATTTTCCTGACAAAAATAATTTATGTTCTTCCAAAAATTGGAATTTTATTTTAAAAGAGGAGATCTTTTCAGTACTTTTTTTTTTCCATCTTAGTTCTGTTTTCAAGTATAAGCAGTATAGGATTTACAATTATATTTTTCAATCAAATTGACTAAAATAAATTACTGAGTAACTAAAAAAATAAAATGTTCTTTAGCATATGCCTGGACAACTTGAAATAGTCACCTACTCTGCAGATAGTACCTGTTAATACAGGCTTCAACTGCAAATACTGAATGCAAAATTTTGTAATTGAGTGGGGGTGGGGGTCAAAAAATACTTCTGACCCGAGCTACAACACTCTCCCCAACGAATTTTTAAGAAGTAAAAACAAAAACTTCTTTTTAAAAATATTACAACTTTTCACCATTGCCTTTTTAAACAAAGTAATTTATTTTGTAACTATTTTTTTTAAAAACTTGTTCCGACAATAGAAGTTGAAGTAAAAGTTTTCTTTATCCTTTGTTTTTTCTTGCAGACATAAAGAATTGATTCTATGAATAGAATTCCTGACTATTGCTTTTGACTTACAAATGCTAGTCAAAAGTAACTAATTTTTAACCAATAACAGATTAATATATTTCATAAAAACTACACATATTTTCAAAACATTATAATGCTTTTTACTATTATTAACTGGCATTTTATAAATATAGAACATGGAATTTTAGAATTTTGTTTTATTTAAATAAAATGATGGATGGATTTTATTTTCAATAAATGGGAAAATTGTGTATTTGTGTTTAATTTATTTAACATTTTAAAATATCTTCATGCAAAAAATAAGTTATATAATAAAATATTATTAGAAATATAAAATACACTATTTAGCAAAAAGCATTTAAACACCCACTTAAGGAAGTGCCTGAGCTAAAGAATGTTATACTGACCAGACTACAAAAGACAATTGAAATTTTCTACCTTCTCACATAAATTGTTGAGGATAGTTAATTTTTGACTTAAATAGATATTACACTGAAGAATCCTTTTTTTTTTTTTAAAGAAAAAAAAATATTATTATTATTTTGTTTGGTTTATGATTTGGGAAAATAATTTCTGGTTTGCACTCCACCCGATTTCATGTGTAGTAAAAAGTTAACTATATCCATATTGCTTTTTCATTTTTTTTCCTACTTACGTTGAGCTTTTTGTTAAAATTCACTTTATTGCTTATAGACCAGACGGACTAGGAAATGTGACAATATTTGATGGTAGAGATGCATGTGGAGCCGATGAGTAAGTAATATCCTTAATATATTTATTGCAGATACTCGAATTATCGAGAGTCTACTGTATTGTTTATGCCAACATAGTTGAGAAAAAAATATTGCAATTTCTAACATAAACTTTCATTCTTAATTTTAGAATTACTTTTCTTGTTGTTTTTGTGCTATACGCATCATAAATATTTTATGCCAAATTTAACTACAACACATTGTGTAAAATAAATTGTAAATAAATGTAAATATTATTTATTAAATGTGTTGATTTAGCAAGCTATTCATTTTACTTCAATTCTACATCTATTTTTCAACTATAGGAAAATTCTAAGGGATGTTTTTTAATAGTTATTTCATAGATGTCTCCTAAGGTCCACCGAGGGTTTTATCCTTATTATGTCTACCTTAGTTATCTATAAGACTTTTTACTTAAGCTATTATGAACTACCTATACATAAGCTATAGGAAAATGTCTCGTAGACGTCGGTATTTTATCCACGACGTTTCATAGGTAATGTGGATGAATTCTGGAAGTGTTTCGGATGAATTGTGCTGTATGGGTTAGCATAATTAGATTATAGATTGCAAAACTTAGTACAGTGGTTTTTAATGAATGCTACTTCATTTAGATTATATTACCAATTAGCAAGTTCAGTTTTGGGGTTCATTATGTTAGCAACTAGCAAGTTCAATTTTGGGGTTCCTCTGATGTATTAATTATTATTAAGAAAAACACTTAATGGGAGAAAAAACATAAATTAAAATTTTTTGCTTCTCCTACAATTTATGTTGTAAATGAAACTATTTAAAACCACCAATTATTCAAACATTAGCATTAACAGTGATTAGGTGATATCTTCATTTATGATTTAATGAAATAAAAAAAAAATGATGCTGGTATGCCTTCTTGAAATCGGCTCAACTTAGACATTGATTAATTTTTCATTTGCTTGCAAGAAGTTATCTCTTTCTATTAAGAGAAGTGTTCTAATTCTAACGCAAAGACAATACTAAAAATGTAGTAGTAATAATATAGTGCATTTAAATATTTTGTCTGTCCATTATTGAAGCTAATTATCTTTCTGAAAATACTGACCCTTTTGTGCTTTGTTATTTGAGTTATAACAAGCAACAAACTTTGTTACAACAAACTGCTTTTGTAACAACATAAATTTTTTATATTTTCTGAGAAAATATCTAATGAGAATTGTTTGAAAGTATGTATTATATCTATTTTTTTCACTATAAATATACAGTGGAGCCTCGATTAACCGAGCTTCGATTAACCGAGGTTTCTGTTAACCGAGGCAATAACGAAGTCAAAAAATTTTTTCTCCTCTCCAAAATGAGCTTGGAAGAAATTATACACATATTAGTTCGTTGTCCGTGATACAGGCACTTATTCCCCACAAAAGCACTCAACTTCCATGAAATATTACACCCTGAGAAGACAACATCCATGAATGCTTTGTTAACAGTGGTCATGTGACTTGTAAGTTTAATCATATAAATTTTAAAAATATAATATTTCCTTGAGATTTGTGTTATTTTTGAAAATGCGTCTTTCGATATTTAACCAAGTATAGTTAAAAAAAATTCCATTTTACTATTAGAGTTGATTTCCTTTTTAAGTCTTTTTAGCTGTGAAACATAAGTTCATATATGTTTATTTTTATCATTTAAAAAACGTCCTATTGTTTTTTACTTTAAAAGTAGTTAAATTCGCTAGCACGGAAGGTTTTTATACATGGTTCCTATTAACCGAGATTTCCGATATCCGAGGTACTAGCGGTCCCAATTAGCTCGGATAATCGAGATCTTACTGTATTTTACTCCTTAATGAATATTTCATAATTTAATAAGTACACTCTTATATCCTATGTATTAGGAAGAACGGTAAGTATTGTCATTTCGGTGCATTTGATATTTGTTGTTGAGATTTTATTCATAATCAATAATATATTCACCCTCGTTAGCAACAACCTTTCAATGCCGGATCGAAATGGATCGAAAAAAAATGAATTGGTTCTTAAGACTAACGAATATTTATGCTACAAAATGACATTACATTTACTCCTAATATTAATACTCTACATTCTTGTTTAATTTATAAATTTTTCATTAGTGGAAATGGTTACTTGATATCATAATGTCTTGATGGTTTTTACTAAATTAGGTGGAAAATTGATGATGTTGATGCCAATGAAGACCCTACTGTGATAACTCTTCTGACTCATCTAAAACCATTTACAAGATATGCTGCATACATGCGAACATATACCATTGCTTCTGCTGCCGTTGGAGCTCAAACTCCCATAATTTATTTTCAGACTAAACCAGCAAGTATGTTTATTTTTGTGTTTATTTATGAATTCATGGTGCATAGCGTTTTTAAAAAGTGCTTAAGGGTGCTTATTTTCGATTTTCGTTATTTAAAAGCCCTTAAAGGTGCTTTTTTCATTGGGTGTTTTTAAAAAGTGCTTTATTTTCCCTTTTCAAAAATGAGATTTTTTTTTACCATGTTAATTTTTGCCACATATTATGCAAGAGCGTGCTTTGCACATAGTTTTATTCAACATTTTCGCAATTCATTGCGGCATACCGTCGGTTCATAGTGTATGAAAACGCCAATCATTTTACATGTTTGATGAAATACTTGCAAATCCGCATGTGCGTCTACTGAGCTGGGTCCGGTGAAATTATTGTCTTCTCATGTGCAACTTTGTTGCATTTTGCAAGATATTCTATTTCAGACTTCGTTTTCCACCCTCTGATTTCGAACCGAAAAATCTCGATCATTTTATAATGGCTAATATAATCAAGAAAAGAGTTCTTTGTCAGAAACCAGTTATTTTCTCATGATCATCTAAAGTCTTTGAAAATTATTTTGTTACTGTATATAGTACTTAAAAATATATTTTGAGTGCTTAAAAAGTACATAAAAAGGTGCTTATTTTTTGTTGAAAGATTTGACTATACACCCTGTAATTGTATTTAATTTAGTTTGCATTTTTTCATTATTTTATCTTTTTATTGTGTCTCTCTTTTGATTTTTTTTTTTGTTTTTAAATCTTTTCTACAAATCTTTCAGAATCACTGAGATTTTCAGGTATTATTATAATTTTTCTGGAACTCATTGGAATGGTCGCAGAAAAAACTTCTATTTTGCTCTCTCTTTGTATCTCCCGCGCTTCGTACTTATTTAAAACTTTTTTTTCTCTCCTGACTAATACAGAGATGACATTTTTCTACACGCAGAACCAATCTCTGTCTTTCAACAAAAAAAGGACACAGTTTAATCTTGTTTGAACTTTAAACGAAACCATCTAGTTTTTATTTTAGTCTAAATTCTTAATAAAATATTAAATGATTATGTTAAATTGCACTTTATTACCAACTCTTTGCATTTCGCGAGTGAGAATTAACAAAATTTTTCAAAATGGTAGTTTAGAGGATTAGTGACAAATAAATGTTTTTAAGAAATGTTTGGCTGGATTCGATATTTTTTAAATACTTTTTAAATTAAAATTATTGAGTTTTGATTGAGAAATATTAAATCCAATTACAAATTTTAACAGAATAGACGTTGACTTTGCCACTATTATTCATAACTATGAATGTTAAGTTATGCCCTCTAGCTATACAGCATCTTTTAATTATAAAAATGTTGCAAAATAAATGCCAATGTGAAGAACACAGTTTTTTTTAAAAAATTAAAAGCAATTTTAATCTAATTTTTTGTTGCCTTTTAGAGGTCCCGAGCCTGGAATCTGCTAATATCTCGATTCTTATTCACACGATTTTAATATCAAACATAGCTTTTCATATTTGCGTGTTGCGATTCTTATTCACGCGATTTGAATATTGTATGTCGCGATTCTATTGCGATTTAAAAATCCGATATTGTGATTCGTATTTACGCCTTTTCAAAAACCTATGTAGCGATGCGTATTCACACAAGTTTAAAATTCAATGTCTTGATTTGCTCATGCGGTTTATAATATCAAACATTGATTTTCGTATTTATACGTGATTTTAAAATAAGGCATTGGGATTCGCATTCACGCATTCTAAAAATTATGCATCATTATTCTTATTTATGCAATCTAAAAATTACGCATCATGATTTGTATTTACGCGATCTAGAAATTATGACTCGTGATTTGTATTTATGCATTTTAAAAATTCTATGTCCCAGTTTGTATTTCTCATTTTCAAAATCGTATATCTAGTTTCATATTCATGTGATTTCAAAATCCATAATTGTTATTCATATTCACGCAATTTTAAGATCAACTATCGTGATTCTTGTAAGCAGTAAATTTTTTTTAAAATTAGTTACTATAAAGGTGACTGTTTTTCTAACAACGATTATTAGTATATGTAAGTGTTACAACATCAGAGAAACTGGAAGGGAATATATTCAAAACTTACATTCTGTGCTTGCAAAGAAGAAAAAATAGGATTTGTCACAAGATGTTTGAAGATGGACTAACGACTAAATATAGCAAACATAAAAGATATAGCAAACAAAAGCAATCACTTAAAAAGGGATTTAATTAAAAAAAAAATTTGGGGGAAAAAGAGTTAATTAACTCATCATCAAAATTTTATTTATAATTGCTGTTATTTATGCTATAAAATGCAAAATTCTTATCAAATAAAAAACAATTATCTAAACAGTTGCTGATTGTCATGTAATTTTTCAAACTAAAATAGCAATTTTTGTATGTTAAGGAGTTACTATATATTTCTACTTCACTGTTATTGATATGTTTCAGAGGGCTGTAGTTAGATTAGACTATAATATGAACATAATGATTCGGTCCATTGTTAAAGTTTTTTTTTCCAATATAATTTAAAAAGTAATATTACTGATATATTTGCTATAAATCACATAACAGTATTTATTAAAAGAAATGAAATATTAATGTATATTCTCAGTAGTTTTAATTTGCTAAACCAGGTAGTTTTTCAAGTAATAATTGTCTCTTATGTGAACTGAGGAAAAATATAATTTCCAGCTTTATTTTTTCAATTGGTAATTTTTATTTTCACTAAATGTTAAGTATCAATGTAATCATTTATATAATAATAGATTAGTACACAATTGTATGTCAACACATTATTTATTACCTTAAACTGTCTGGAATTTATTATTAAAGGGTTGCGCTTGCTTAAAATTTACTATCGTGGAAATTCAGCTTTTTTGCCTCTTGGCTAATCTCATCCCTGTGATGTTCAAATTCACTCTTTTAATCTAAAAGTTATAAATAGAGGAATTATTTTAAAAGTACTATTGTGTTCCGTGGTGGACTTTGAACTTTATATAACCTTACCTGTACTTCACCAATAGTATAGCCTCCCCTTGTATTTTTTACGTGATATTTCAGTTACCTCATTTAAAGTGTAAAATTTTTTAAGAAATAATTAGTGCAACTTTTGAATCACTATTTGAATATATATTCATGAAACATTAACATAGATAAGTTGATGATTTTTTTTTTAATCTTTCAAGCTCCTACTTCACCTGTAAATCTAAAGGCTCATGCATCTTCACCTAATGAAATTGTAGTAACATGGTTTCCTCCAAAAAATCCTAATGGTGTAATCAAGTACTACATCGTAGAAGGTATACGAGAAAAAGATTCTTCTGAATTTGTGAGTCAAAGAAATTACTGTAATGAGCGTAAGTACAAAATGATCATTATTGTTTCAAATATTGTAGCATCATTGTTGCAAAATATTGTGCATATATAATGTATACAAGGTATCTTGTAATCAACATACATTTTTAGATTTGTTAAACAACATAAAGTCAAAAATATATAAACTTTGCGAGAACACTGTATAATTACAAATAGTAAACATTTAAAGCTTGTTTTAAGAAATATTCATGGTAGTAAACTATCATGTGAATAAAGCCTTTTATTTACATTTAATTTTCTCTATATTTCATTGCATAATTTGGAATTCATGATAGAATTTCGTCTTAGATCTTCCCTTAATCAAATTACCTCTCTGGAAGTAATCACCAGGTAGTTAGGGCATTTTATTGATTAGATCCTCGTAAGTCAGGAGTCTTTTACTTGTATTGCATTAAATCATCTCCAATAGAGGATTTTTGCTAGGGATAAATTCCCCAATGTATATTTTGTCTAATATGATATTATGATCAAAAATTTGCTATATAAGTTCTAATTTTTGATGATGTGCTAAGATGTTATTTTTTTACCCTTTTTAAGTTTAATGTTTGATTCACAATTTGTTTTATAAGCAACAGCTTTTATGGATATTACATTGAAGTATCATATTTTACATACTTACGATAAGAAACTGATAAAATAAAAAAGAACAAAAAATTTTGAATAATCGATACATTGTACAAATTTCAACCAAACGTACTGATGTCTGTACATTATATATCTTTTTATGTTTAATAAAAAGGATAGTGATTTTTTATCCCGATACATCTTTGCCTCTAAAAATTTGTGTATTTACATGCTATAACACTGAATTAAGGTATACATGGGACAAAACTGTTAAATGTTGACTTATAACCGGATTATGCTTCACTTCCAAATTGTGAAAAATTTAGATTTTGCGAATTATTGCATATTTTTATTCAATCTAATTCTGAAGACAAAAATGAATCTTGATTTTATTTAATTTTGAAAAATTTAAAGAACTTATAGATTGTAGGACTCATAGATTGTAATTAAAACAAATTCCTTTGCATACTTCATAAAATTTAATTTTTTAAGTTTGTAAAAAAAAGTTTAAGTGTTTGAGTTGCAAATCAAAATTGTCTTATGCCAGTGTGGGATCATCCTTAAATTTATGATTCCTTTTATGAGTTATTTTTTAAATTTTGCTAATTGCATTTTTTTCCTTTATAGTTTGTTAAAAGATGAATAAAAGTTATTTATTTTGAATTACTTATTTGTATTTTTAGCATTAGTAATATCTGATTTGAAAAAACCTGTTCAGGAGAAAATTCCAGTTACAGAAGACCCTCTGAAATTTGATGAAAAGCAAAAAGAAGAAGAAACCAAACCAAAAGATTGTTGTTCTTGTTCAAAAAAAAATATTCCTACTCAAGGAGAAGAAACTGAATCACAAATTCAATTTGAAGATTTTCTTCATAACAAAGTTTACTTAAAAAAGTAAGACAGTTAACCTATTTTTTAATATTTCATATTTTACATTAAATGTATATTTGCTAAGCTACTAAGTATCATTTTTCTGTATAATTGAATCAAAATTCTTTCTATATAAGAAATTTATAAAGTTAAACGAGATTTTTTCCCTTTCTTCAAAAAGTGAAAATTGCTATTGTTTATCAGTTTATATTACTTTTATATAGTCATTTATTACTTTCAGTTTTAAGCTGTTTAAGACTTATTTTGTTGTATGTTTTTTAGCATAGAATATGCTTCCAATCATTGAAGAGGAAGATGTTTATAGTTAAAGATATTTAATGAAATTTTGTTATTATTTCTAAACTTGTGTTTTTAAGTTAATATAATATTAAAGAAAAGCATTTTCACAGTTTATAACTGAGGCATTTGCTTTATTATGTAGGAATATATTTTTAAATTTTAAACTCCTACGAAATGTTCGAATCCCATACGTTCTATAATTCCTTATTTATTATCAGTATCTATTTACGCATAAATTCTGAACTGTTACTTATAACCTATAATTTGTTTCTAATAAATATTTAACTTTTATCTGAAAGTGGTGCAGATGATATTGAGGAATCAGGTATCATAATTAACAATGAGAATCTGACAGCTGGCATCTATGTGAAAAGGCTTTATTTTCCACCTTCTGAAATCAAACTGAAAAATCTCTTGAATTTTCGCTGATCGTGGGGACTAACTAAACATAGCCAAATTTTTTCCTAAAAGCGAACGAAAGTTTTATTTTGCTTTTTAATTTCTTCGTTGGTGACATGCCATTGTGTTCGTCACTGGCAGACTAACGGCGTTCTCAAGATATTCTATTTATAGATCAGTACCATAATCTTTGAACTTGACTTGCGGATCATTCACTAATTATGTATTTTCATGTGGGTCCCCAAAGCAGTCTAAAATCCCAAAGCTTCATCTCTTAAAAATTTCCATCTCCCTTTTTTTTGTGATTAAATTTAAGAATTAGTTGAGAGTTTTAAGCGCAATGTTTTTACTTGCATTACATTCCCAATTGCATAACATTTCTGTAAACTTTTATTGTACTTCATTCCTTTTTTTCTGCTTCTTACTTTTTATTAACTATTATATTATTACTTTTAAATTTTTCAATATTCTTAAGTTTTATGAGATAACTCAATAATATTTAGATCAAAGATTTTAAAAAAAAGTAAGAAGTGAGGGGCATTTAATATTTTAAATGTAGCAAAAAATATGTTTAGTTTTGCAAAAATTTGTTATTTCATAAAACTTGAATTCATCTCTTAATTATTTTATTTAAAAACAATTGAAGTAAAAAATTAGATTATCTCTGATTTGTTAAACATTAAAAGAATGTAGGGTAAAAATGTTCAGCTTCAATAGTCATTGTATCTACATTTCAAAATTATTTAAGTTAGTTTTTCTTTTAACATTTCATTAAAGAAATTTAAGTAATGCTGAACCAAGTAACAAATAATAATAAACAATTTTTAGGGACCATTCACTGATTTACATTTGTAAAATGAATTTTTTTTTTATTTTTTTTTTTTTAGTTTGCTTACTTCTTTACACATTCTTTATTATTCATTCTTCTTCTATAGATGCTTCACACTTTGAACATTTGGCATGATCAATAATAATCTTGTTAATGTTTTGAACATGCTTTTATAAATAACTTTAATTTAAATCTAAAAAATGCACTCAATAACCTTTTTAAATAATAATTAATTTAATTATAATTTTGAATAATTTTTTTTACATAGTTAAATAATGTAATTAAAAGTAGATTGAGCCACTTAATATTGAATATCTTTAAAATAATTGTTGTATATTGTTTTTATGGTGTACATTGTTTTAATGGTGGCTGATGTAATCAAAAAAAGAGTTCTTTGTCAGAATCTAGTTACTTTATCTTGATCATGTAAAATCTTATGATATTATTTTGCATTTTGTTAATGTATTAATGAAGAACTTTCAACAATAGGAAGAAAATTTTTTTATTATTAGTGCACATATCCTAATTACAGGGTTGAGATTTTGATGTCAAAAACTGGTTTTTGACTTGGCACGTCAAAAGAGCCTGTGGAAAGGTATTAAAAATTGTCGGAATCTGATAAAAACTGTCAAAACCTTGGTCAAGTTTTATTTATTAACGTTGGAAACATTTTATTAGACATTCAATCATGCACAATACTTGTATATGTACTATAATTATAATTTATGTAAGTATTGCATTTATAAAAAAAGTATAGCCAAAATCATTGAATTATTAATTAGTTTTTCTAAAAATATGGTACTCTTAATATATTATATTACAAGTAGTAACTATGACTTGTTACTTATTATCAATCTTAATATTGATTTTAATTATTTTATGCCACAATTTAATCTGATTTTTTTGAATAACTAAAACTAAAGTGGTTGCCAATAATTGTCTGATCTCAATTTATAATTTTTTTTTTTATTCTTAATGTTTGAAATTATTACTTATATGCAGGTTAGCAGAATATATCTAATTATGCAAATGAAGTTTTGATGGAAATTCAGGCAGCCAAAGAAAAAATTTTTCGTCCAATAAAATTCCTACAAATTTTTTTGTTATTCAAAAATGTGTCGCTTTGCTAACTTTTCCTTGTTAAAAAACATTAAATGTCAATTTGTGTATTCATTAGTTTAAACTCCTTAAGTTTATAAGTGGGACCTTTAATTTAATAAATACAGTAGGGAACCGATTATCCGGAACGGTCGGGACCATCGCTATTCCGGATAACTGATTTTTCCGGTTTTTTGAATCGCTACAAAAAGCCGTTTTTTTTATTGTTAAACCCAACTAAAAAAATAAAAAAATTGGAAATAATCTTAAAAATAAGAAAAAACGATGAAGTAATACACTAATGATTATTTCCAAAATGATGGTAAGGTAAACATCTTTAAAAAAAGAAAGAAAAATCGTAAAATCTTACGAGGAAAAAAAAAATTTTTTTTTTTAAATGGCGAGAAAATTTATCGAATTTTGTTCCGGTTTTCTGATTTTCCGGATAACGGGTTTTGTACTGTATTACTATTTCAACATACTTCGATTTCTAACAAATGCTCGTTTATTCAAGAATTGTGTAAAATCAAGTAAATTTTTTTCTTACTTAAACTTTATTTTCCAAAAATCTTTTAAAAAAGTTATTGTACTTGAAAGAAAAAGAAGGAAAAATTTTGAAATTTCTAGGGAAATTTCCATCAAAAGAAGAGAAAAAAAACTTTGTCTGTAGGAAATATTAGGGATTGAGAATTTTCTGCACTCCTGCTTATATGTATATGAATATTTCCAATAAATCATAAATATAATGTGTTCCCTGATAAGTAAACTAATTATAATTTACAAAACATGTAAACTTTGTATGTGGGAAATATTAAGGACTGAGAATTTTCTGCACTCCTGCTATGAATATTTCCAATAAATCATAAATATAATATATTCCCTGATAAGTAAACTAATTATAATTTACAAAACATGTAACTATTTGTTTAAAAGAGTCAATAAGTTTTTTAATTAATCAATTCAAGGGTTTAATTAAGTTACCATCAGTATTTATTGCAGTTATTAGAATAAATTTCCTAATTACATGTTATTTTATTATGTTGTAATAGTTTAGTAGGTCAACATTCTAGTATATACAGCTGAGCATCATTTGAAAAAAAAAACATTTTCATTTTCGGTCTTCTTCATACAAAACTGGCAAATGAACTTTGAGTACTGAGAGCCTCAAAACTAATTTTTTGTAATCGCTTGCTTTGGGGGAAAGAGGAGTTAAAGTGGAAGTAAATGAAAACTTATTTTACATATAAAGAATAAGATGATTGTTAAATGTTTTTTTTTAAAAATTAGATAATTGATTTTGTTTTTATTTTGAATAATTAAGCAAATTAAGGGATTGTATAAATTGCAATTTGACACATTTTTATTTATAATTATTTAATATTTTTTGCACCAAAATTTAGGCCTGTTTACACGGTCCAATTTCTTGAATCCGAGAAATTGGACGGATTTCTCTGTCCAAGAAATTGGATGATTCGTTGACACTATCCAAGTTCTTTAATGTCGCTGATTCGTTGAAAGAAAAACTTGCGCATGCGCATTGTTAATATTCAACATTATAAAATAATACTTACATAAGTTTAAAATTACTAAATAAATTCAAATAAAATCATAATAACACAAATAAACCTCAACAGATCAATTTATTTGAACTAAAATATATGAAAACCCACAACAAAATGACATAATTTGCTGCCAGCTTGTTGACGTCACAAAACCTAAGACGCTGATTGGTTAAGGGAGAAAAAACTTGGATGGAAAGTAGAACATGCTCTACTATCGTCCAAGAAGTTGGACCAAGTTCTTGGATGTTTGTTTACACGATCCAAGCTCAAAGCAAAACAAGTTTCCATCAATATCAATCAATCTCTGTCCAAGAAATTGGATCGTCTAAACAGGCCTTTTGGATTTTTGACAGTTATTTTCAAAACAAAGAGTTTTGTATTAAAATATAATTCCAGAACATAATTGATAGAACGCTTGTAATTTTACTTGTATGTTAATTTAAAAATAATTCATATTTATAATATCCTTACGCAGAAACTTTAGGTTTTCGACGATTGTCAAAGAATTATGTCAAAAGGTTTTTTTTTTAATGTGAGGGTTAAAACCGTCAATTTTTTAAAATTTGCCAACCTTATTATATTTTTTTACAGTGCTTAAATATATTTTTTGAGTACTTTAAAGGTGCTTATTTTTTGTTGTAAAATTTGGCTACACACCCTGAATTAGTACAATAAAATTTTTACAAAAAATAATACAATAAAATTTTTACAAAATTGTACAATAAATGTATGAAATTCAATGTAAAAAATATTTTTCTTTACTATTTTGTCAATTCTAAACGTATTTCAAAAAGACAAATTTGTCTCCTATGCGCGTGTGATTTTACCAACATTTGGCAACATACTGGTATAAACCCTATCTATGACAGACATTTTAATGTATATAGGCAAAAATAATATATTCCTTTTCAATATGTGCTTCCCTTTTTATTATTGCTTTAACATAAGAGTAAATAGTAGAGTGAAAGTATTTTATTTGATATTTTTATAATTTTTTTATTGCAGCCCATCTTTTAATGCCAATGCTGGTATCAATACTGATTTGAATCAAAATTTACCATCTACTACTCGAGCACCTGCGTCAAAAATGCCATTTTTTTACAATATAACTCCCAATTCTAATGTTGACTTCACCATGACAACTAATACTGAACTTACATCTGAAGAACCATCAACCACAGCATCGCCTGATCGAGAAGGGCGGTTTTATTTCAAAGTTGAAGAAATGTATCGTGCTGTAACTGGACTTCATCACTTTACAGAGTACACCATTGAGGTAATTTTTATTTATTTATTTATCTTTATGACAATTGCTTGTGTTTGTGCAAAAATAATTTTCAATGACATTAAAAAATCTATTAAGCATCTTTTTAATTATGTAATCCATATTTCATAAACTAATTTACATAGTATTTTGCCATGAAAACATATTTTACTTACAACAATGTCTATTTTAAGTGTGTTTGTCTAACTTTTTTGCTTGATTTTGTTATCAGTTTTTGTTTGTCTTATTAAATCATACCTGATTAAAAAGTTGCATATGAATTGTTTATTTGTTTTAACAGGTTAAAGCTTGCCAAGAGAAAAGTAGAGAGTTGGAACAACCGTGCAGTTCTCAGGCTATAACAACTGTTCGAACTCTTCCTTTGGGTAATTTCTTTTCTAATATCTATTTTACTTTTATCTTATTAACTACTAAGAGATTTCCCCTGCATTGCTTTGTTAAATAAAGCATATTATTGTTTTAAGAAGTTAAGGTGATTTTGATTCAGGGTTGGCTTTTTGCCGGCAGAAACTGGTTTTTGCCATGCCAGTGGCAGAAACTAAAAAAACCTCTTTATTAGTTCTAGTAATTGCTTAATGACATTTTGTTTAAGTCAACTGAAAAATGAATTAAGTAAAGAGAAACTTATGACTGTTTATAAAAATCATGTGACATACAGATTTAACCAGGCAGTTACTGATTATCATTTGCTAGCTTATATGCTGCATCCAAAGTACTTGGAATTGAAATTATCATGTGCTCAAGAAGAAAGTGCCAGAATTTTACTCGCCAATATTAACTCAGATTTTGTATCTTATGTTATAGCTTTGCAAAACAAATTGGCCCCATTTTCTGAAATTTATTTTTCTAGTAAAGTTTTGACAACTACCCCATCTGCTACATGGTGGTCCAGTTTTAAAAAATATGCAATAGATGAAAGTTTCATAAATCTTGCCTGTTCCTTAATGGCAATGCCTGCTAGTTCTGCTGAACTTAAAAGCATCTTCTCAAATTTCTCATTCGTGCATTGCAAATTGAGAAATTGTTTAGGTTTAGAAACTGCATCAAAACTTGTCTTTTGTTATAGATTACTGCAGAGTGTAAACAATGTAATATTTGATTTTGAATGGTGATAATTTTGTAAATAAATTGTACTTTGTTTAACATTTAATTGTTTTTTCTATGAATTATGCATTGTATGTCAATCTCAGTGCTTACTTTTATGTCATTTTCTGAATTTCTGCCAAAAATGTGGCAGAAAAGGGTTTCTGCCATGCAATTTTTAACCGGTTTCTACCAGTGCTTTTAACCACCTCTGCAGAAACTTGCCAACCTTGTTTTGATTTCATCAAGAAAGCATTTATATACCACCTTTTTTTTTACTTTCCATAGTTTAATTGAAATTTCATGTAGGATTGTGAAACAATACAAAATAATTTTTATAATTTAAATTTTTAAAGCTATAATTTAAAGAAAGGTACTGTGACATCTGAGGCCCAAATTAAGTCATAAAAATCATGTTACTCACTTGGAAACAACTTTTAGTAGGCAGTCAAATTCTATATTTTTAAAACTGGACTAACCTAAATTGAAATTTAAAATGTACTTTTTGAATTTAAAAAAACAATTTTTCTGAATTTTTTTTTAAAGAAACTTAATTTTGACCAAAATATAAATAAATAAATCAATATCCACCTGTTTTAAAATATCTATTCAATATTGACACTTAGTGGCTGAGTGGCACAGTTGGTTTGTCGTCGGCCTTCTGAGCCCAAGTCTGCGGGTTCGATCCCTGGCCCAGACACCGGATTTTCGGGATGCAGAAAATCCTCAGCGTCCATGTCGTATGATTATGCGGCATGTAAAAGATCCCTGGAGTGCCTTATTGGCTCTTGGCATTTCCGGCAAAATTAAATTCCTAGTGAACTTTAGCAACCAAATAGAGTCTCGGTGCTGCCATCTAGTGTGGCAGAAACTAGACGTCCAAATTAACATGACCAACGGTATCTCACACATTGTGGTGGTCCTGAAAGAGTGGATACCACCTCTGGAGAAAGCACTAGGTCTGCTCATTGGCAAGACCAATTGTGCAGCTCATTGGAAATAAAAAAAAATAAATAAAAAAATATTGACACTTATATATATTTTTGCTCGTAAGCATTTTTACAATCCTTATTTTTATTTGGAATACTATTTAGATTGCATCGTTAAGAAAAGTATTGCATTTTAATTCATACATTGTTTTTATGCATGGTTTAATTTTTCCTCTTTTATATTGTAAGGGTCTCCCAAATGAAAGGTAGAGAATCTAGAGTAGAAATAGCAGCACTACATTTCAGTGTTATAAAATAAGGTTAAAAAAAAAGCACTCTATGGATAGTGTATAAATGATTGATTAATTTGCATGAGAGCATAAAATCGTAATAAGTAGATGTAGCTAAAACTTCGCGAGGCATAGTAATAGGATTTTTAGCAGCAGAAGATGAGTGCATTGCTAATATTTATTGCCAGATACTTGCTGTTGATAAAGAGTGCTGTTTAACCAATTGCACCAACAAAACCATGTAAAAGGTTTTAGAATAGAAGTATATTAGCCTCAAATCCACTTTAACCCAGAGTAAGTAAACAGTATATTCTCTTTTGCTAAGGTTGATGAAGTGATTAGAGGTAATAATCTTGTGACACTAGTTTAGCTCTTTGTATGAGTAAAAGAATTGTGTAATCACTTCACTAAAAAACATGCTGTCTTTGATTGTTTTGTTTTGAAAAAATCCATCTTAGCACTATTGAACTTTCACTTTATGTGAACTGGTCTATCAGTTGTATGGTGTCTTCTTATCTTATTTTATAATCCTAAAAAACGGCATTGTTATCCTACTGTATTTTTGACACAATCATTATTGTCTCTTATAAGTAACATCTTTTAAGATCTATATCTTTTTTCATGAACTTAATATTTATATAGGAAATCAATTATGTAGCAATATATTTTTAAATTTTAAACTCCTACAAAATGTTCGAATCTCTAAGTTTTATAATTCCTTATTTATTATTAGTATCTATTTACACATAAATTCTGAACTATTACTTATAACCTGAAATTTATTTCTAATAAATATTTGACTTTTATCTGAAGGTGGTGCAGATGATATTGAGGAATCAAGTATCATAATTAACAATGAGAATCTGACAGCTGGCATCTATGTGAAATGGGATGAACCTAAAGACTACAATGGCTTAATTGTAAATTATCATGTTGAAATAAGATCATCTGATGCTTCAGATGTAAGTAGGAACTTTCTACCTTTTTCATAATTTTTATGCTGAAAATCTTTATTTTATTTACTGATTTATTACTTAATTATTTAGTACAAAACAATACCTATTTGCATCACTCAACTTGATTACCAGAAGAAAATGGGTTACATATTTAATGATTTATTACCTGGAAATTATTCTCTGAGGCTAAGAGCCACCTCACTTGCTGGGAATGGAAACTGGACTAGAGCTGTATATTTCATTGTTCCAGATTTTAGAAGTAAATCATATCTACTTTTTATTTTACTATTCGATTTCTGCATAAAATGTCAATGTTAATTCAATATTTTATAAACATTAAATATATGTGAAATGCTAGATGATACTATTGAGACATAGATAAGATTTGCCGATCACCATTAGTTAGTTCTAAAATCCTCGGGCCAGGCAAGGTTGACTCAGCCTTTCATCCCTTCAGTGGGTCGATAAATGAGTACCAAGTGTGCTTGGGAACTAGACACTGGGTGTTCCACGTTCGGCTGACCACCTGACCGGAACATCTGCTCCTGCACCCCATAGCCCAAGATCAAGCAAACTGAAATGGGCAGTCGTGCCACTGAGTTTAGTTTAGTTCTAAAATAGAATTTCTAAATGCAAAAGAAGTAAGGCTCCAGTTTCATTTTGGCACTCCATCTTGTATGTATTGTGGATCTTTGCAACCACAAAATAATTTATTGCCGTAATTTTTTTATTGTAATTGTGAAATTTTAGTGTACCATTTCCAGTTTTATTCTATTAAATGTTGATTTTTTTATTATCTTTGGTTTATTTTTTTGTTTATTATCTGTGGTTTATTTCATTGTGTTTATTTTTTATCTGTGGAATTTTATACTCATCATGTTCTCCAAAGATTTGGTATCAAAATCTATCTCCCATTGTTACATATTCATAGTACATATTATCAGAAATCTATTGCCGTAGTACATTGTGAATAGTACAGAATTTTTATTTTCAATCTTTTATTAGAAGTTACTCATTTAGAGTGAGAAAGGTACTTTTCAATGAACTTCACTTTACTCTTCAATGAACTAAATATTAAACTTATGCTGTATCCAAAAATTAGAAACATACCATCAATGACTGGTAATGATGAACACCGTAATAAAAATGTGCTTGAAAACATTGTTGCTAAACGGATTAAAAAAGCAGCCGCTGAAAAAGAAAGATTGGCTCAAATGCCACTTGAAAAATTAAAGCCAGAGAATTTAGACATTGTTAGATGGTACTCTGGTTACCAACATGGATAATTTAAAAGTAACAGATTTACCAAAAATAATAAAATATTTCCATGCTACTGAAACTGACATTTGTACCTGTCTAAGCTATAGGAGTTAATATTTATAAAAAGGACTTTGTGAACCACTTGGTGGGACATAATATAATAGAATTATAGCACAAGAGCCCAAAACTATAACAAAAGATTTTGATTTTGTTAAAACTTTATCTCTCAAAAGATTCAGTAGCTATAGGTGAAATTTTGGATCACTGCTAGATAGCGTTAAAATAGATTTTCTAGATATAAATTTTCAGTTTCATAATTGAACTCTATGTTGTATGTATCATGGATCTTTGTCTCCACAAACTATTTGTCCAGCTAAAAATCTTAGTGAACTATTTTCGTATTTTTTATTTTTATTTATTTTTTAGTTAATTATTTTTTTTATTATTATCATTAAAGTTTATATTTATTTACTTTTTGACTTCAAATTATGTGTGTGCATCCTGTTCCCAAAAATATACACCGAAGAGCCATTACATTATGATCACCTTCCATCTATAACAATGGGCTCGCCCAGATTTTCATAGTTTCTCGCCCAGGAACAATGTTTTCATGGGGCACATTAGGAACCATAATCCTCATAGAACAATCCCTGACGTCTGTAAGCTACTTGAACATAGTTGCAGACCAGGTTCACCCAATGATGGCAACAGTTTTTCCTGCGGGGGATGGTATTTACCAACACGATAATGCACCATGTCATAAGAATCGAATCGTCATGGATTGGTTCGAGGAACATTCCAGTGTCTTTCAAGTCATGTCTTGGCCTCCAAATTCACCTGACCTTAATCCAATAGAGCAGTGTTTCTCAACGGGGGCGATAATGCCCCCCTGGGGGCGTTGGGAGTATGCTGAGGGGCGGTGGACTTGTTTTAGGCGGCAGGGGGCGCTAGGTATGTTTTGGGCTGTAGGGGGCGATGAGCAGATTATGTTATTCAAATTTAATTTTAATACTCCCAAATAAAATTATTAAATTAAGAATCATTTAGTAAATAAAATTAATCTGAAATTAATGATAAATAAAAAGATTAAATTAATATAATAAATTAGATTATCTGATACAACATTAGTACCAGCAGTAAAACGAACTTATGCAACACATATTCTCCGATCCGAATCACCTCAGCACAGCGCATGAGTCAGTAGTTTTTGCCTCTGATATTCAAGACATTTATGGAGAATTAAACTTCACACACTTTTTGTAAAAATGTTTGATTTGACCCGTGTTTCTTATGATGGTTTAGTTTGCTTCCTAGCAGTTTTTTACCCAGTTTCGATTCGATTTCATTGTTTATTTGGCCAGGTACGTTTCTGAACTAGTTCTTAATCGTAAATTATTTATTGATTTGAATAAACAGTTGATTTTCTTTCATTCGTATTTTACTGCCACCGACAATGTTGGTTAACATAAAGAAGTATATTCAATACAGTGCCACGTACTTGAAGTTTAGATTTGTTCAATCGCTGTCGAACTCTCAACTACCCATGAATTTATTTTATAACAAAGTTTAATATAATGAGACAATGGAGCCTTCCCGTTAGCAGAAGCATTTGCAAAATACTCATTCTCACAAACAAAATAAGAACATCAAAGACAAGTTTCTGAAGGCACCTTTGACCACTGGCTTACTAACAACCTAATCACAAAAATGCAATGATGGTTTGATAAGTTCTTATAATATATCAAAATTAATTACTAAATCTGGGAAATGTCATACCATCGGCAAAGAATTGATACTGCCGCTGTTAAGGAAATTTTAGGAACAGTTTTACACTATCCAGCCTCATCCGATTTAATCAAAAATATCCCTTGCAATAGTGGGTCGACATGGTGGGTTTTTCGCCGTTTTGAAGAGTGTGGTACCAGATATTTTAGCAGCTCACTGCGTGATTCACAGACAGTATTTAGTAAGAAAAAATCTCAGCGACCGTTTGCATCAGTCATTGCAATATGTCATATCTGCTGCGAACAAAATTCGTAGTAACGTTCTCAACGATTGATTACTCAGACAGCTGTTCAAGAAAAACGGAAGAATATCGCTTGCTACTACACCGTGATTCACTGGCTTTCCTCGAAGACAGAATGTAGCTGTGAGAGACAGATTGCTAGAATTTAAGATAGACGTTGGTAGATTTATTTGCAAAATTTAATGGCGTTAATTTGCAACTTCAATGTGACAAACTAAATTTGATCCCTACGAAATCAGTTATTTCTATATTTCTAAAAAAACTTATTCTTTGGAAGCAGAAATTTGGTAGGAATGTGTTCAACCAATTTCAAATCTTATCGTATCTTGAAAAGAATGGCGAAATTTCCTCTAATGGTACACAAGAATATAGTTAAAACCTTGACTCTTTTCACATGGACTTTTCTGACCGTTATAAATGTGTTTTGTTCTATTTCCTCAAATGGGTTATTAATTCTTTTTTGAATATTGAAACAGAAGAGGTTCAGATTCAGGAGGAATTGGTCAAACTTACAACTAATGAAGCTTTGAAATGGTGATAACTCACAGAATTTTGGCTTCAAGGTAACATCAGTCGCCTCTACTCTACACTGTCAAAATTCATTCTTATTGACAAAATTATTTCTAATTTCCTTCCCTTTCTTCTACTTTGTCGAACGTGGATTCAGTGCTGTTATGGATCAAGTCACAAAAAAGAGAAATGTACTCGAAATCATGCAACGAGGGGACTTGCGTCTTCACCTCAGTAAAAATATTGAACCAAACGTTAAGAAATTGGCTATGAACCATCAAGTACAATCAGTCCAATGACATAGTAACTTGATTGTTTCGATAATACTACTATTTTTATTTTTGGGTAATTTTTTTAATTATCTAATTAAGAACAAGTGGCTCTTTTTAAGCATCTCTTAAGCAGTTTTCTTTGTTGAACTTATTTTTTTCATTACCGTATTTATTTTTATTATGACAAATAGATTGCGATTACCTGCCGGGAGAAAATTATAGAGTTAACGTACACATTAAATTTAAAAAGAAAAAAAACAAAAAAAAAAACATTCAAATTTAACGCTTAAAAAATTGCCTGAAAATGCATCTTATAATTCAGCACGCTCCCCCCGTCCTCATGCTCTAAATAACTGAAAGGGGGGCGTTGATATGTTTTTTGCTTATTAAGGGGGCGGCAACGTTAGAAAGGTTGAGAATCTATGCAATAGAGCATTTGTAGTCCTACTTGGAAAACCTGGCACATAAAGCAGTTTTCTATTCCGTAAACACAATGGTATTTTAATACTCATCAAAATGTCTTCACTGAGTGTGTCATTCTAATACAGTGAAAAAAAATTGTTTTTATTTGTTTTTTGTTTTTTTCCTTCAAGAATCTCACTTCAAAAACAAGTTTTATTAATTTTTGCTCTTTAAAAACAAGATGATTCCTATGACAAAGAGTCATTTAATTAAAGTTTTGAAAGCAGATTTCTTTTGTTTCTGTATATTAAACATGAAACATTTTAAATTCATTTTTAATTGAGGGAAAGAATGACAAGACAAAAAATCCCTAAAGCGAAGGGAAAATAATCTTTGTTAGCATTTTATAAATTTTTTTTTCTCTCATGTGAATTTGGTTTTAAGACATAATTCATTAATTTGCAGGACTTTCAAAATTAAGTTGGAACCTTTTTAGTCCCCGAAATGTGTCCAAAAGTGACATTCCATTGAATGCTGCTTTTTACAGCTGTTACATGTGTTTTGTAGAATACACTATTATATACAGATAGTTATTAACAAAAAAAATTTTTTATTCTTGTTGTCATAAATAGTTAATAATGATTTAGGATTAATTTCTCATTTAAACAGAACAAAAACTTGTTTACAATAATTCCCTTTTCGTTTCAGGTGGCATGCGACCTGAGTTTTTAGCCTTGTTAGTCATTGGAATTGTTTTTGTAGTAGTTAGTACGTTTGGAGCAATTTTGTTTTATGCCTATCAGAAAAAGAAGTATGTATTCGATATTTCAGAGTATTGTTACAGTTGTAAATCTGAGCTTGTATATATTTTCATTCGATTACTTTCTATTATATGTTAATAATTTTTACACTTATTGTATAGATATGATAATATGCCTACCATGCTGTATGCATCTGTAAACCCAGAATATATGAGTGCTGGTAAGTACATTCCATTACATAATTCACAAATAAATGCAATAAAAGTAATTTTCAGCATATCTATTGGTTTATAATCTTTTATGTGTGTTTTCTTTTTAATCCTGTCTATTTGGTCGTTTTTCGTAAAGTTTTCGGTAAATATTTCTTTAGAAGAATTTTTATATATATTTTTTTAATGTGTATTTTAACTCTATGTAAATATTCAAATCAGGTTTACTCAAAATGCATTGTGCATAGAATATTTTGAGTCAAGAAAACTATTACAAAAACAATGTTTTACCTGCCAAAAACCAGATTTCTCTTTTGTTATGCAATTGCAAAAATAGGCAGGGGCTCCCACCAGGGGGGAAGGTGGGCGCACGATGCGCCCACTTGAAGCTTGGGGGGGAATTTTTACACTAAATAAAACGAATAGTTTGGGAGGAATTTAGAATTTGCCCAAGAATGCGCCCAAGAGCTTAGGGGGGATGGGGGCCACTGAAAATAGGTAATCAAAAGAAATTTTTACGCAAACTGAGCAAAATTCCAAATGCTCCATTGATTTAAAAGAAACACAAAAATCAATTGAATCTTTGACCTATCTGAAAAGTCAAAGTATCAAAATATATTTTACATTTTCCAAGTTTAATTGAATATAATTATGTATTAAATCATAGAGAACAGCCAAATTTTGTAAATTATTACAATTATTTTTCCCATGTTTATGTATGTTTTAAATAATTTTCTACTTCATTATAGTTTATGAGCCTGATGAATGGGAAGTGCCTCGAGATAAAATAGCTTTACTCCAAGAACTTGGTCAAGGATCATTTGGTATGGTTTATAAAGGAGAATTTACTACTGAGGATAGAGGATTAATGAAGTGTGCAGTTAAGGTATGTACAGATATCAAATTCTGATATCCTATAATGTAAGTTTAATCACATTAATGCATCAGGCTTACTGCAAGTTAAAAATATGTAAATAAAAGCTATGTCAAAATGAATTTTTAAATCTGTATTGAATATAATACCTTGTCAGTGTGAGGTCAATTCAAACATAGTTTTCACCATATATTTTAACTAGGCAGCTGATGTCATATTTGCTGTTTGAACTAATTGAGTTTCAATGTAACAATCGCACAGTTGTCTGACAATGCTCCCAAATCAGAGTTTTGATAACCATTATCAAAAGTTGTCTTCCCAAATCCATATATTATGTCAAAAAATTACTGTTATATTTGTTTCATTTTATGTATGTTAACTTCCATATTTTTTCTTTTATATTTTTTTATTTCCTTAATTTTTTATTTTATTTTGTCTAAATAAGAGTTGTATTAAACTGCTAAATGGACATTTGTCATCACTTCTCTGAATTAGATAATTGAAATTTTTAATTGAATATTAAAAACTTAGTATCAGTCATTAATTAAATTAGTTTGGTATTGTAATATTTCCATGATCTTATTTAAAATACTAGAATTTAAGCGGTGTTTATAAGAATTCGAACTATCATGTACCTAATAAATAAAAGTGTTTTGGCTTTAAGAGCAATAAAAAGTGTTGAGGTATAGAACTTGAAAAGCACCATCATCCTCTGTCTTGACATTGAAAACAGTTCTTACCTGCCATCAATAACTACATCATTTGTGCTATCATGCTATTAAATGTTGAGACCTACTCTATTAAAATACCCTTCTTTCTTCAGCTTGCTAAATTTTATCTTTTATTTTCCGTAAACAGATCTGTCTTCTTTTTTCCCCCCAGTTACATAGACTGTAAATAAATCCATTGTCTTTTTATATGTAAACTATTAAGGGAACTACTTCTTTTACTGTATGTTAAAGTAAATAAATTGTTATGCATTATTCCAGTATGTATCTTAATCTACATTATTTATTTTGATGCATGTAGACCGTGAATGAAACTGCATCTCTCAGGGAAAGAATAGAGTTTTTGCAAGAGGCTTCAGTTATGAAGTAAGTATAAAAACTTAATTTCAAATTAATTTGATTATTTTATTTAAATTGATGTTGTTGTTTCTCACCCCCTGGTGTAGGAAAGCCTACACCAGGTCCAAAAAAAACCTTGTCACCTGAGAACATCGAAAATCTTCTCCTGCTCAACAACAAGCTGCCTCCAGGAGGCACTTAAACAATTAAGAAGGTGTGCGGGAAGGGAACAGGAGCTAGGAGAAAATATCTTTACCCCATTCTGAAATTTCTTGCATTTCAAGTGACCACTTCTGAATCTTGCCAAGGCCGATTGTAGAGTCCTGGGGCAGCTGCATAACAGAGACCCTTTGAACCCTACCAATTATGAGCTGGTGGGAGGCTCCAAGTTGAAAGGAAATTACTTTTGTGGAGCGAGTGGATTTTAAATCCTTAAATTTCTTTTTAAGAAGGAGTTAGCTCAGCAGAGTTGACAATCAGAAGATCACCACCATTTCTAGCAAGATTATCTGCAATATCATTACTGTGCACCCCAACATATGAAGGAATCCACTGGAAGCATACTGATTTCCTCCAACCTAGCTCAGAGAGAAGTACTAGAAAATCCTGGTCATGTTTATCATACATTTTCAGCTAATTTTTTAAGTATTGGACGGCACTTTTAATGTCAGTCAAAATCCAAATTCTGCTATTATCAGTAGAAATCAATATATTTAGTCTTAATTCAATCTTGTTGTTATTAAAAACTTAATTTCTAATTTTAAATACTTGCCTGTAAAATTACATGCTGAAGTATTATGTACAATTTTTATACAGTAGAATTAAAAAGTTCTTAATACTAAGAGTTTTATACATTTTCAGTACAGCCCAGGACACAGAAATGTATTTTTTTGGCACTGCCTCTATTCTATATGTGTATTAGAGGTAGATTAGAATTATTTTAAAGCGTGGAATATTTTATTACATAAAAATAAATACTAGTTTTATGTAAAACAAAAGTTATTGTTGAAAGGAATGTCTAACTTGTCATTTTAATATAACTATAGCATGAATTTATTAAAATGAAATTATTCTTTTAGAGCATTCAACTGCCATCATGTTGTTAGATTGTTAGGAGTTGTTTCTAAAGGACATCCAACGTTAGTGGTTATGGAATTGATGGGAAAAGGTGACCTGAAAGCTTACCTACGTTCCCGACGACCCGATAGCGAAGTAAAACAATTATTTTTTCATATGATTATCTTTGTTTTTATAAATCTTTGTTTTGAATTCAATTTAATTGTTTATATTTTTCAGGAAAATGTTGGCAAGAATGTTACTCCTCCTACTTTAAAAGAGATTCTAAAAATGGCTGTTGAAATTGCTGATGGAATGGCATATTTAGCTGCTAAAAAATTTGTTCACAGAGATTTGGCTGCCCGTAATTGTATGGTATCAGATGATTTGACTTGCAAAATTGGAGATTTTGGTATGACAAGGGATATATATGAAACAGATTATTATCGAAAAGGAGGCAAGGGCCTGTTACCTGTTCGTTGGATGGCTCCAGAATGTTTGAAGGATGGTTTATTTAGTTCTCAATCTGATATATGGTAAGTTACTTTTTTAAATTATTTTGTTTTCTCTCTTACTACTTTTTAAATGAAAAGATACTTTTTTGTTTCTGAAATGTTTGAAATTAAAACAACCATACATGCTTCATAGAGCGAACGCAAGATTGCTTGTACACTAATTAACTTCTATGAAATCTTTGTACAGTAGGGAACCGATTATCCGGAACGATCGGGACCATCACTATTCCGGATAACTGATTTTTCCGGTTTTCTGAATCACTACAAAAAGCCGTTTTTTTTTTATTGTTAAACCCAACTAAAAAAAAAATATTTGGAAATAATCTTGAAAAAACGAAGTAATACACTAATGATTATTTCCAAAATGATGGTAAGGTAAACATCTTTCAAAAAAGAAAGAAAAATCCTAAAATCTTATGAGGGAAAAAATTTTTTTTTTTTTTTTAAAAATGGCGGGAAAATTTATTGAATTTCGTTCCGGTTTTTTGGTTTTCCGATTTACTGATTTCCGGATAACGGGTTCTGTACTGTATATGGTTTGTAATTGTTATATTTGCTGACTCATTTTTAATTAAATTGGTTTCATGTTCGCTACTAGTAAAGGCACAATTGGCTTCTCGGTCATTGTTTTTTTTTTTTTTTAAATTAAGTTTAAGCTGATTTCTTAATGCCAAAAAAGTACTTAATAATGTCTGAAAAGAGTTAAAAAAAAATGTTTAAAATAAAATCTTATCTATTTTAATAGAGGCTGAAATAGTAAGAAGGGAATAAAATTAAAATTGTTACTTCAATGTATAAATGTTGAAACCACTAAACTAGGCAGAATTTTATTTATTTGTATGTTAATCATTTCTATGAAAAAAAACAATGTGTATTAGAAAGTGGCAGCAAAATATAAAAATGCTGTTAAATCCAGCCTTAATATGATATATTCCTACATTGTTTGATATATTTTATTATGTGTTTAACTTAAATTAGAGAGCATTCAAATATGTGTGTAATATTTTCACTAGATTATTTATTAATTGAATACATTTCATTTAGATTTAATTAATTACATATTTTTTTGCCTTAAACTATTTTTTCTGCTTTCTTTTCACCTTGCATTTTGTTGTGCCATAAATCAGCCAACTTCTTAATCCTCTGGTTCCAGTGCAAATTTATACCAAATTTTTGCCAATTGAGCAATTGAAAATAAAAAGTTTATTCTGCAAGAAAGATTCTTAGTAATACAGAGAAAAATCTGAGTTAAATGCTCATATAGTTAAGATTGAAATAAATAATATTGTGTAAATTATGCTTAAAAAACTATTGATTTTCAATATTTTTCTTCTAAACCATTATTTTTAAATAAAATCTAAATGTTCTTGTAGGTCCTATGGTGTTGTTTTATGGGAAATGTCTACTTTAGCATCTCAACCATACCAAGGATTAGCAAATGAACAAGTTTTACATTACGTAATTTCTGGAGGGAAAATGTCGAAACCTGAAAATTGTCCTGATAAATTGTATGTTCTGATTTTCTTTTCAAATTCTTGTTCTTATTGTACTAATTTTCAAATTTTTTTCTTGTAAAATCAAAGAGATTTCCAGGTGCACCTATTTTATGATTTTAATGGTTTTACAAAGCATGCTGTGAATTATCATGTAATTTTTCTGTGAATAATGTATAGCAGAAATGCAATATGTAAATATGTTTAAAATTTAATTTCAAAGATTTCTAGTTTGTAGTAGCTTTGTTTCATAATTTTTCCCCTCATTTGATCTATAAATATTTAACAATAATTTTTAGAGTATAAATATTTTTAGAAAATACACTTACAAAATGTTAACTATTATTTAATTACTTTTGTATTTATAATAATTTCTCATTTATCGTGAATTTCAAATGTTATGAGTGCATATTTTTTTTCTGATATCAATTAGTTTTGCTGAAAAAAATGTAGTAAGGTTGTTTTTTAATTTAAAGTTAATAATTTTTTTAAATTAATTACTTAGTTTTTAAACTCTAATTTTATAGTAAGTGTTAATTATCGACAGAAATAACTTTGAAAAATATTATTTCTAATAAACTTATTTGAAAAGTTTGTAATGAAAGTTATAGTTTTATGTGAATTGATAAGCAGTTTCATAGTTTGTTTAAGTTTACTTAGTTTTTCATTTATTTTTTATTTTATTACAGTACTTTGTTTCATGAATTTCAATGATGCTAAAATTGCTTTTTTTTCTTCCTTCATTTCTATACGGTTGAATGGCAAAAATTTTAATTTGGTATATAAAATTCCTCATATTTTAATGAATGATCCTAGTTTTATTTTGAACAGGGATGAGATTCTTCCGCGGATTCGCGGATTTCCGCTTTTTTTCAGATTTTTCCATTTTTCCCGCTAATTTCCGCTGAAATTTTTTTTGCACTAGTTAAAATATTTTATGAGGAATTTAATTTTCCGCGGAGCAAAATCATTGAAGTCCTTATTCCTCCCTCTGAAGTTTGTCTAAAAATCATTTTCTTGGGAGAAAACTGGTTGACCTTTATATAGGGATGAGATTTTTTTTGTCTCTCGAATTTCAGCCTTTTTATCTAAAACTCCAATTCTCTAAAAGTTTCGTTTTTTTTTTAATATAAATATCCCGCTTTTCTTTTAAAATTCAGCCGTTGAAGTAAAATAATTATATTTATTTACGATTTTCAAAGATAAACAGAAAATTCAAACTACGTCCTAGCTGCTAACCCTTCCGCATTTTTACTTATATTAGCTATTTTCTCCGATTTCATGTTGGCCGATTTCATGTTCAGAAATCCCAAGTCCAGACTCAGCAAATATCTCGATTTTTATTCACGCGTTTTTAATATCAATCATCGATTTTCGTATTTACCTGATTTAAAATTTGAACATTGCGATTCTTATTCAGGCGATTTAAATATTGTAAATTGCGATTCTTATTTACGAGATTTAAAAAACCAATATCGTGTTTTGTATTTATGCATTTTTAAAATCGCGATTTTATTATCAAACATCGATTTTCGTATTTACCTGATTTAAAAGTTGAACATTGCGATTCTTATTCAGGCGATTTAAATATTGTACATTGCGATTCTTATTTACGAGATTTAAAAATCCAATATCGCGATTTGTATTTACGAGCTTTTAAAACTCTATGTAGCAATTCGTATTCACGCGAGCTTAAAATCCAATGTCGTGATTCGTTTTTGCGGTTGTAATATCGCGCGATTTAAAAATTATGCATCGTGATCTGAAAATTACGCATCAAGATTTGTATTTTCGCATTTTTTAAATTCGATTCGTATTCCAGAATTTTTGTGAAATGGTGAAAAATTCACACATAATTTTGTGGAAATGGGGCAATCTTTTTGTGAAAAAAATACAAAAACTAGTTGTTTGTTCAGACAATTGTGAAAAGTCCTATGGTATGAAAAATCTACTTTGTAATTTACTGCATCTAGAGTTACCATAAAATTAAGTTCTTTCTGCTAATGTTTTTTTTTTTTTTTTGTAAATCTGTTAAAGTGAGAAAAACACAAAACATGGTTTTTCACAGTGTTGCTGTTATAAAATGATGAATTAAAGAAATCATCAACTCCATTTTTAAAATGAAAAATATTCTAAAAGATCCTTTTTTTATGACAAAATAATTTGTAAAGGGACAGTTTTTGCAGTAAAATATTTTTTGATAGTTTGATTTTAACAATAATTTTTTTTTAGAAAGGATGATAAGTAAACCCAAACTCAACCTAAAGTAACTCCTTCATGGCATTAAGTTATGTTCTCCTTTAACTTTGTTAATTTTAAACCTAACACATGCATGACTTTGTAAAACGAAATTTTTAAAAAAGTGGTAGAAGTTTTTACAGGATAAGGAATTTTATGTTAATTTTTTTAATGATTTTTTTGCCGGATTTGTTATTAAGTGATGTCTCGTATTTTCATAGGGCATTGCTTGTAATATATTCATATAATATTACTTTTAGCATGAATGAATTTCTTGTTAAATTTTATTTAATGGCACTGGTACTTTATTTGATCACTGTCATTGAAAAATGAGAGCTGACTGTCATGAACTTGAAGATTAGAATCTGTCATGAACTTGAACATCAAGCTTAGAATCTGTTGTGCATAAAAAATTATGGGGATTATTATCATTTACACAACTGTGCTCGAAGTTCAGCTTTAAAAATAAACATAAAAAATACTGCATGCCTAAGACATTTTGATTCACTTTTCCTTTTGTATGAATAAATTTGTTATAGCATAGCTAATATTCTCCTCCCTTTTGACTAATCTGAGATTGCTGCTGATAATGATGAAATGGTAAACATTTTTATCCAAGAATGTGGAATATCTGTGGAGAAATTTTAAATCTTCTCATCTTATAGTCAATTTTGTAGCATATCAAACAAAGCAAGAAGTCAATGAGATATTACACCCAAAAAGTTTCAATATCAGTTTTATAATAATAATACAAATTCAATTTTTTTTCATTACATACTACTTGTTTGAGTTTTTACCATTTAAAGCTATTGTAATCCACATACATCTGCCTGATAAGTTATTTCTGTCTCAAATAAAAAATATACTACCAGAATTTATTTTTTAAAAAAGATTTTCATACTTATAAAAGGCTACAATACTCAGATTTAAAATTCCAGAACAGAACTAAAACTGTTGGAAGAATACTGCAGCTCATAAAAGCATGTTTCATTCCCACTTCAATTGGTATCCTCTGACTACAAGATTTATGTAGATCTATATGAAAGTACATGGTCTAATGTTCTCACGGTTGCATAGGAAAAAGGATGTTTTAGGCATACCCAACTAAATTTACAAAACAATTATGATTCATTTTGTGGTTATATTTAAACATGATTTCTTGCAATTGTGCTTTGTGAAATAGTTAAACGCTCCTATTCCAATTAACTTAATTGTACAATTAAAAAATCATGCATTTTTCAAAAAAAAATAATAAAGAAAAAAAAAAGTCTTATCTTTAAATTCTTTAAGGAGATCAGAAAATTGTTTTTTTGCCATCTTGTGTCCTTAGAAAACGGAACCTCACTCTCCACTAACATTTTATCCTGTTTAATTTTAATAAGAGTGAGAAATAGAAGAAACTTGTTTCTCCAGTGAAGGATTCTTTTTCTAAGAATATCTTTCCAGTTTTGTTTTTGAAACATATACAAGAGTACACAATATTTTTCTAATTTTTGTTGGAAGTGTTTTTATGCATATTTTGAGAGACCGAATGAGTGTTTTTTGTTCCATGCTAAAATAAGCACTATTACAATATCTAGTTCCAAGTATGGAAAAAGTGAAAAGAGAAGTTGTCCAATTATACAGATTCCTCGATCCCAAGCAGTCTGTATGATCGGCGCCCTTCTGTAGTTGCGATTCTCCTCTTAAATTTATGCTTTTATTCCTCCTTAGGTATGCACTGATGGAATTGTGTTGGGACAAAAATCCTAAAGCCAGGCCAACTTTCCTGGAACTCATAGACATGGTTTTACCCGATGTTGACCAAGGTAGGTTCAAAGAAGTGTCCTTTTATTCTTCGCAACGACAAGAAACAAGCACCAAAGAAAGTGAAAGTGAATCTGCCACAGCCTCCACGCCCATGAGGACTCAGTGGATGGAGGCTCAGAACTCTCACGAAGAGTCGGACACAGAGTCTGAGATCACCTTTTTCCCTCCCACCAGAAACACTTCGAGGTTGGTGGGAAGGAACTCTCAAGGCGATAGCAGAGCTTACAGTGTTCATTCCATTGAGGGTAGCAAAGGGGTGTCTGCTACATCCTCGGACGATAGCAAAGGTAGCAAAGTAAGTAGTACTTCCAATGGAAGCATAGCAAACGGAGGAGTACCTTATGTGTCATGTCGAACTACTGTGTGTTGATTATTTTACTAAAGAAACAGGGTGCTCAGAATCGGACCGAAAATCCTCATTGTGTGTGGGTGCGGTGTGTCATTTGGTGCTGTTTAACCATTATTTAGACCACCTTTTGCACCAAACGTGTGTTCATCTGGTCTTTTTAACTCCAAAAAACTTGTACAGAAAATATGTTGTGTGTGTGCATTTTTGTTTAGTATGTATAAATACATATATATATAAAAATTCAAGTAATAATATTTATGAAGTTGTACAGTGTGTTAACATAATTCATATTTTGTGACGTTTGTATAATATAAGTCAGAACTTTATTCATCAGAGTGTAAATTTTCATTATCATTGTAAATTTATAAATGCTTACTTATAATAAGCTAGTTGAGAAGACTTTGTTATTGAAAAATTAGAAGTATTTTTTATCATATCTTTTCAAAAGTTATAATTTTCTTTTAATTGTTATAGAAGAAGAAACTTTATGATGCATTTTATTTTTGTTTTGAGCTAATTGCAGATTAGAGTTAAAGTTAGTTAACTAAGGAAAATAAAAATATTATTACGGCTTATCTTTAACTGATACTAAAAGTAAACATTAACAATTCTCTGCTTGCAGTATTTAAAAATTTTTTTTTATTGGAAGTAAATATATATATAAAAACATTATTATTTCTGCCCAAGATAACTTAAAATATCAGTGTCATACTAGATAACTTATAATCAATACTTTTCACTCCTAGGCTATGAATTAGAAACATGCTTATTTTTATGCTTCTTTAATTTATATAAAACAAATTGGTGTCATTTAAGAAAAATATTCTAAAGGTATAATATTAACTAAATTATTATTAAAATACACTTATTCACATTTTAATAAAAAATTGAAGTGGTTGGTCTTAAAACTGGCAAAACTTGATAGTCTATTATTGGAATGTTAAGACATCTGGAGTTAAATTATTGATAATGTAAATGATTGCTCTGCAACTTATTTTTTTGCAAATTTGATAAATAAAGAATGTTCTCATTATAATTTTTGACATCAAAAAAAGATAATATTAATAATTATATACATATATAAATTCTTATTTTAGTATATAAAATAATGCTGGTGATTAAATGGTTAAATAAATAAAAATTAAAAAAAAGACGAAGCCACTTTGTTACAGAAATATTATATTTTTTCGAATTTGTTTAACACCAGCCATTAAATTTTGAAAAAATAATAATACAGTTTTTCTTCTTTAATAATTGAATAACTAATTTAAGATTGAAACAACTTTCTGCTCTTATTCATAACTTCTTTTCATTATTCATACTGAACTTCCACATTATTCATCAAACAAGCGAGTGCATGTTTTGCACTTGCTTGGGATATTATGTAATGGTCACCAAAAATGTATTACCAGTCATAGTTTTAAATAAAGTTATGTTACATTAACCTACATAAAGTTTTAAATGTGATAAGTTTTTTTCCTTTCTATTAATATTTATCAGTTATTTTTACAATGTATTATGTCCGACACTGAAAAGTTTTCTCTATGTTTTTGTGCAATCTAAGGAGTAGCATACATAAAGTAAAAATACACTTTAAATGTGTTACGATCATACAAAATGCAAATTTTTATTCTTATGCAAATTTTTATAATTTCTTGTCTTTATAATGTCTGATTAATACTAGTTCTTGCACAATTGCTTTAAAGTGCACACTATTCTAATTATTCACACTAAAAAAATCAGGTTCTTAAATCAATTTGTTGCCACATTTTTTATCGAAGTTTTCTGGTATAAAAACATATTCCTAAGATAAGGAATAATCTGTTAAATGTTTATTGTTTGAAATAACACAATATTTTTATAGATGTTTTTTTAAATTAATATTGAAATCAGATTGTTGAAAATGAAAGTTATGAATATGTTTCGGATATATTTTTAATGACGATTGAGCCTCGGGATTAGGTTGTACTGAAATTCCTCTACTAAGTGTTTCTTTCTCCATTGAATAATGTTGAAAAAACGCGTTTTTTTTATGCAGGAAAATCTGCATCTGTAAATTCATACAAAGCCAGGATCAATGCCTGGAGGATTTGAACCCATATTTGATAACAAAATATAACTTAAATAAAGATTAGGAAAAAATTATAATATAGTAATAGACTCAATTTTCATAAATGGTTTTTTCAAAAATCTGAGAATTTTCGAGAGGAAACTAGTTTTTCCAATTACTTAGATTTTTTTAAAAAATGAATATAAGATTTGGAAAATTAAATCTAGTTTTAGTTTAATCTATTTATAAATATAGCTTTCTTTCAGAAATAAATTTATTTGAACTGTACCTAAATATTTGAAATCTATGCATTTTTTTTTTCATGCAACCTTGAAAACTCTTGGTTTCAATAACTAACTTCAAGGCAATTCTACTATCAGGCTGATAAAATATTCAAATATCATGTTTTTATTTATTTTTTTTTTTTATTTTTTTTTTTTAACAAGATGTCATTTTAAATGTAAAACATTGAAGATTTAGAAATATTAATTCTTAGTTTAATAAATTTATTTTCAAACTATTGAGAATTGAGTATTTGACTTCCGTAACCTAAGTTCATGTTCTATTTTACAATGCTGTACTTAAATATTTTTTACTAAGCACTGAAAATAAATCGTGATTTTTCTAAGTACATTTTACATTCTATTTTTTAAAATTTTTTAAGCAGAACATGCTAAACACAATTAACTATATATATATATATATANATATATATATTTCCAAATTATCTCATGACATATTTAGAAGTCATTTCCTTATTGAAGATATATTTAAGAAGTGTAGTATAATAATTTTTTTCTTTAACCTGAACCAAATTTGGTTTTCATTATTTGTTTTGAATTCAGAATTCGTAAATAATTTTGGGAAATAATAAATTAAAAAGAATATATAGTTTAAATTTTCCTCCTTTTAATAAAATTAGAAAAGCAAACCTAGCCGTTAGCTGTGAAAAATTACTCGATTTTAGGTAATAATGAAGTATGACAGCATTTTGCGGAATTCGGAATTTATTTAAAGTATGATATAGAAATAAGATATAGATTTCATCAAATGAAGTTTAAAGATAGTCCTTTGCATTGCCTACTGTGAAGCTGTTTTACTAATGTGATGAAAAAAATATTTGTAATATGTGCAAGTGGAGGATATATCAAAACTTATCACTTATCTAGTGTGGTAAAAAGGTGATTTTAAATGCTCAGACGCAGAAGATACAAACTTTTTGTTGAAGATAAAACATCCTAAAAGATGGAAAGTATAGAAGATGAAACATCCTAAAAGATGGAAAGTATAGAAGATGAAACATCCTAAAAGATGGATCTTTATTTGTTCTTTTCTGCTAGCAATTCTTTCTCCATTTTTTCTTCTTATTTTTTTTATAAAAGCCAAGGTGGTTAATAATCTGCAACGCCTGCTGCCATGTTTGAGGGTTTCTGCTAGTGGGTATATAATTAATAATTTCAATTGCTAATTTGGGTCTACCAAACCTTTCTATTGAAAATACATGTAACATTTTTGTAAAAATTTAATGTTGTAACTATATATATGAATTTAAGAAATAATTGAAAAATAAGAATATTGTCTTCCTTATATTTAAGCTGAGCTTTTTATACATTATCAAAATATACTGTTGTTTTAACTTTTAAGAAAATTGTTTCTACTATTGAATTAAAAGCTAAAAAAAATTGTTCATAAATTAATGTGGTAGTTATATATAAATTGAACTTATTCTTAATTTTTAAAAAAAATTTTAAATTATTAGTTGAAGTTGTTGCAATTTATTTTTTATTGTTATTATTAAAGTAGAAATCGAAACAAATCTCTCTAAAAAGTTTGTGTGTTAAAAAGTGTGCAAAGTGACTGCTAAAGAGTGATGTGTTATTACTAAATTAAACTGTGAGAATTCTCGTAAATGAAATAAAATCAATTTTTATGTTTAAATTATTTTTTTAAAAAATTTCATAATTCTTCATAGTATAGTTTCATTGCATTCGTGTTATTTTTCATTTTAACATAAAGTTTACTATTATTAAAGAATGAGCTAAAACTAAATTTCAGAATTTTATAAGCAATAATATTCATACTATAATTATCACACAAAAATGTTCATTAAATAATTACTGCTACATACTATCTTTGTAAATATGAAGTATATTGTTACAGTTTTATTTATTTCTGAAACTATTAAATGTTAGATTATTGTATTGCAATATGCAATGTTAAATATAAGCTCTGCAATATATTAATGACAGTATGTATGCAATTAAATTGAAAACTGGTTTTGCCTTCATATAAATATAGATATAAAATTTTGTTTTCATGGTGTACATATTTTGGAACTTTTAGCATATCTATTTAAAACATGAATTGAAGTGATTTCAAACAGTGATATATATTTATAGATTATGTACAGGGCTTGAAATTAAGGGGTGTCCATTGGTCCATGACCGCTAACATTTGACTCGCACTACTATATAGTAGGTATCAGTGTTCTCCCAGGCCAGCAATCAGTGAAATGAGATGGTATACTGTTTTTTTGCTTTCATGTTTTAATATGCTTTATTTATCTTAATTGTAAAATTAGACATTCTGGGAATTAATTTATTTAAATTATCTTGGATTTAAAAGAAAAAAAATTAATATAGACATGTAAACAGACCACTGAAAATGTGTACAGACTAGTAACTTTTTTTAGTTACTAGTCCGTTGAAACAGCGACTCAATTTTTTAAATTTTTATTCTTAAATGTATATATTTTAATAAATTTTCTGTATGCTATTATATTTATTTCTGCTATTTGCAAAAAGTGTTCTAGTAAATATATTTTCAAGCTTTTAATATTCACTATGCAATGTTATTCAATATGCAATGTTATTTAGTATAACATGAAAAAAAACTTTAAATATTCGTAAAAGTTATAAGGCTCAATGATATATATTCTGATTAGTAAACACATTCAACTCTATGCAAAAAATAAATTATCTTATGTTAATAGTGTAGTAGCAGCAAATTCCCTGTTTAGTGAGTACTGAAAAACACCATGAATTATATAGATTGAACACTATGCATTGTAGTATATTTTGAGATATTATGCTATTTAAGTGCCTAAAATAATTATGCAAACAATGGTTTAAAATTTGTGTTTTATTTGCTATTACAAAAACATATATAGATATTTTAAACATCAGTCACTTTTATTTAAAAATG